AAGGCTGATTTGATGATGACGACCTATTTAAACATTATAAAACGTGAATTTACAGTAGACTTGTAAGGTAACATCATAACCTTCAAGAAAAGAGCATATTCCTTTTTAAAAGGCTGGCAGCACACCTGCAATGACTTTAGTGTTGTGGGTGATCATGGGCGGCGGTAGTCACTTACTATCAGGTGAGCCGCATGCTCGTTTGCTGATTGTGTTGTAAAAAAAAAGGTTATAAGGATAGTGCACCTTCGAAACTCTTCAATTGCTTGTGAAGTGAGAACAAGGTCGAACGTTCGAGTTTGTTAACCCAATAGAATTGATGTTAGTTTACAATAATATTTAGGATCCTTTATTTTTTTAACCGACTTCAAAAAGTGGGAGATTCTCCATTCGGTTGTAGGTATTTTTTTACATGTTTCTTACTTCATAATCATAGATAATGTAATAGATACTATTGTCATAACTTCTTTAGTTATAACGATTTGGAAAAATCTTTTTTTATCTGGAAGGATATACGAGTACTTAGAGATTGTTGTCCCATATAAATATTATAAAAATCGGCTGAGCAGTTTATATATATATATATATATATATATATATATATATATATATATATATATATATATATATATATATATATATATATATATAATCCGTTTAAATGTAATAATAAATGTAACTTATCTCTTAATATTTTAATTTATAATTTCACAAAATTATTGTTTTATAGACCACTATAAACTATAATTTATAATAATTTTTACTTAAATCTATTAGAAAATTATTTCATATTAGTCTTAATAATAAAGATTTTCATTTAAGAGATATGTTTAGAGAAATAGCACCTGAGAATCAAGTCCACTGGCAAATATAAGATAAGATTTCATGTAAGTACGTACCAAGATTGATCTTATTACGATCTTACATATGCATAGATAAGGAAACAGTCATATGCATATACATTACAATATAGTTTCCGCTCTCTATAAGGTCATGGTCCACTCCAGCTTAATGTTTTTGAAACCAGAACACGTCGGCGGAAGGGTGAGGTGCCAATGTCGGCCGCTAGTTGAATCTGAATCAACCGACATATCACGTACTGTGATTACTCAGCTGTACGCTCGTAACGGGTTTTGTAGGTATTACAGATATTGTAGCGTGTATTTGGCCCAATATTTGGGTTCATAATGCAGATCAAACCGGTGTTTGGCCTGCGCTTATTGGTTGGGAAGATGTTATGAATGGATGTTGGCTTGGCGTTGTGTTGGCCGTATATTTGGGCCCATAATGCAGGTCAAACCACAAATATTTATGTAGGTATTATGTATGTTGGCGTATCGATATTAGATTTGTCAAGTATTTACGTTTATAATGATTATTTAGTAGTTGATACTTTTGGCAGGCAGATTGGCAATCGCAGTTAGGCTTTGGAGCTGTTGTAAAGAGAGACGTTGCTGCCTATCCCTCTATCATTAAATTCCCCTAATCGCCTTTTACGACACCCACGGAAAAGGAAGGGATGGCCGATTCTATGCCGGGACCATATGACGATTTGAGATAATGCAGGTTAATAATAGATGCGATAATTATACACCGGGTTTTAGAGGTTATTGGCGTTGAGTTGGTTGGTGTTTGGGTTTATAATGCAGGTCACATATCAATGTCAGTAGGCGTTACGAGCGTTGACTTGTTGGCGTCGACTTTGCATTAAATCTGAGGGCCTACCATGAAATGTTTTCCGAAATTTCGGAGCCAAACGAAACAGAAATTTGATGTTGAAATTACATAATACATGCCGTTTTGGAAATATTAAAAATGTTAAAATATTGTTCTTTTTAACTTTTATGATAGGATGTATGACGAACGAAATGTTCAACTCCATTTATTGGTCCGATTTTGGTATAAACAAAAACACGAAATTGAGTCCGAAATTTTGGAATTCCATTTCATGGTAGACCCGCTGGCTTTATAAATGACCAGACACTGAGTTGTACAAATGCTATGGAAGTTCACTTAACATTATGTTGGCCAAATATATATTGTTTGCAACTTATTGGCGATGAGTTGGCCAAATATTCATGTTTATGATTGTTTATGAAGCCAAGTGAGATTGTGTGAGTATTATGGACGTTGGTTTGTTGGTTGTAGTTTTGGTCAAGTGTTTGGGTGGGTAAGGTAACAGGCTTCACACACTATAGCGATCTTAATAACCTTAACACTAGATACAAATACAAATTTGTTGTTTCAAAGTATCGTTTAGAAAAAAAAATTAATAGGTATTTTATGGGAATGGGCATTAAATGTTATAAAAAGATACCGAAGGATATTTTGGATCTGCTTTTTAATATGATTAAAACTAAAAATAACTTATTGAATAAAGTTTATTTGTTACACACTAAACAATTACTTGAATGACAAATGTGCATGGTGTTAGTCGATCATGCACGGGCTTTTGACAACCATGTAATTTTAGACATTGAAATAAATGCATATAATGTTAACTGAGATATAAAAGAGTAACTGTTGAGTTTCTTGCGGGCTCTTCTCAATAGATGACAGCTTTTTGAACCCTGCGCTAGATTAAAAAAAATGATATAAAAGTACTTGTAAACAGATCTATTTGAGTAAAGATGATTTTAATTTGAATTTACAATAATTTGCGACGTTCACATCACAATGCCAATGTACAGTATTCGAATTTAAACGATAACAGTTATATGTTCATAAGGAAATTACCAGATACGGAAGTTCTCAAGAATTGCTAAATCGCAGTGTATGAGGGCGTCACGTTGTATACTGTGATGTCTATATATAGATAGATACTCTTTATTGTTTCCTTCAAAAGATTACAATAGTTATTATAGTTACAAACAATTACAAGAAATAATCACAATAAGAAAACAATGGGCGATCTTATTACTAAACGCGATCTCTTCCAGGCAACTTTTGTATGGAGAGGAGTAATTATAAACAATTAGATTGGAGGCACGATGGAAACAAGCATACATGTATATAAACACCTACACAAATACATACAAAATATAATAAATACTGCTCATATGTATACGTAAAACAGAAAGTTATAAAATTTTTAGATATCTCAAGAAATAAGTATGCTAACCAGACATATAAATGAATTAATAAGATGACAGATAATAAAATATAATATTCTTTATTGCACTTGTAATATACATATAAAATAATGTATTTATAAATGTTGTGAGCAAGGGTGCACTTATCTCTGACAGAGATCTCTTCCAGTCAACCCAGTACAGTGAGAAAGCATTTCGTTAGCGGGCAGCTGAAGTGCTACAACTATTAATACATAAACAAATATACAGTTAAATAAAATATTAAAATATATAATAAAATATAGTGCATGCGAACAGCAAGATGTCTATAAATGGCTAGCTTTACATTGCATTTAATGTTCGCGTGATTAATTTATAGTTATTATCTGAGATACATTTTTTTATATGCAATTTTAGTTGTTAGAAAACTAATATGTGACCAACACGGGAGCAAGTCCTATTGAATGGAGAAACTATTATTAAAAACGTTTCAGACTTAGATTATAAGGGTTTTGTGTCGGCCATATAATTGTGTAGCAAATTACAACAAATAAAATAAATAAATAATATAGCAACAAATGAATTAAAAACCTCTTTTTGGTACACAAAATAAAACAAACAAAAAATTTTTTTTTGTTATAAATTTTTTTTTTATATTACGAAGATGGAAAGCAAGTATAAATAATAAAAATAATAATATTTATTTAATCAGACTACATAAGGTCCATTTTGTTAGTTATAAATTGACTTAACCTATATTAGTAAATGAGCGGTCATAATGCTCTTGCATTGATAACCTGTCCCACCCAATATTTTAGTAATTTTATTCAACACATTACGTTGCCAGCGTCCGAGCAAATATCTCAGACAGCGAGTACAGTCACACATACTGAAATAGAACAGTCTATGTCTTCACCATCAGTACCAACTAGGTCTCTAACTGATACGTCATGTAAGTATTCTAGAGCAGGCAGATTGATTAAGCCACCACTAAGATATAATTTATAAATTTGTATTTGTAATTATAACATCTACTCAGACATTTGACTTTGTTCGTGTAAGGGGGATGTTATGAATATTGATTTAAGTAGTTAAGGTCACATCACTAATGGAACGGCGCATCACTAATGTCGCTTCCTCTCTCATGATATGTCGTCACCATTCTGTACTAATGTCGGTCCCTATAATTAAACCAATAAATATTAAACAAGTCTCTATCATTTATTACCAAGTCAATACAGATGGGACAGTCCATTTTACCAGCAATTGTCTTCAGGACACTGTTTGAGCTAACACACACTCTACCCAACAGCGAAACGATTCGTTTGCGCCGTATTGCGTAAAAATCATCCGTACGTATGTACGTAATAATCGTATATCGCTTTATACGTACGTATAAAGCCCGTTGGATGGTTATCGGTTACTGTAACCTAGAGAGATGATAACCTGACGCCTGCAACACTAGAGGTGCCACGTGCGCGTTGCCGATCCTGAAGAAACCTTAATATTTAAGAGATTTCTTCAGGGTCGGCAACGCGCGCGTAATACACCTAGTATTGCAGACGTTTATAGGCTACGGTAACCGCTTACCATTTGGTAGGCCGTATGCTCGTAACGTTTGTCACCTTAGTGATATAAAACTAATTCTTTTTGAAGAGCCCCATACTGTAGTCTCTAGGGAAAACCTCGGTAGGGAGCTCATTCCACGGCCTGAGCATTCGTGGGGAAAAAATCCTTTAATACTGCACTGTACGTGACCATTTAGGTTCAAGCGTGTGAGGGTAAATTCCCTGTCGATGGCAAGTGATGCGATGATAAAATATGGCTGTGGGCATCATTCCAAACAATTCCATAGAACACAGTCCATCATTATGTTATAATTAGGACAATTATGTTATAATTGTTTAAGATAATACGTTTCTTTGTTTTCAGATATGATGTATAGGAATGCTTTATGCGTGCTGGTGTGCGCGTGCGCATCTAACGCGCTCCGCGTCGGCGTCGGCATCGCTGACGTCACCGGCCCGCCTGCTGAGATTGGATTTGTGAGTAAACATCTGTATTTGGCTAAATAGGTTCATAGACGGTCAAGTCTGTTTGATTAAGCTATTTGATGATGAATTTGATGTCTTGATGATGATGATATATATATATATATATATATATATATATATATATATATATATATATATATATATTTCAAGTTTAAAATATTTAATGTAATTTTTTTAATAGATTTATAATATTATTAATATTTTAGAATAGGCCACCTTGCTTTCCCGAATGTGTCGTAAGAAGCAAATAAGGGAAGGCGAGGAATGGGCAGCAGCTTCTCTCTTAAAACATTTCTAAAGCCCAACTACGGTTGTCAATCCGCTTGCCAAGCGTAGCAATTACTGGCAAAATTCCATAAGAGAGGGGCTTATATTCAGCAATGGGCAGTTAAAGGCTGAAATGATGATGATGATAAGTGAAATGAAGACGCCGACTTGCTGCCATCTTCACCCATCATTATTCACTAGTGCTCCGCTTGCGTTATTGGTATACGCTCGCGGTGTACTAAGTGATGATTGATTATTAAGAATATCAAAATCACGATAGTTTTGAGAGGAACCGCGTGGAGGTCGATCTGACACGGTATATTGCTAGCAATAGGGCCACTAGTAACCGTTACTAACGATTCCTTTACTCCGCTTTCAATGTATTTGTTAATCGTATACGAGTGAAGTTGAAGTCCTTTTTTTAATGGGCAAAAATGAAATGGTAACCCCGCCTGTGCTAACGGTATGCACTGGCCCCCGCCACCAGTGAGGGATGATAGGTGAGAATGAAAGCCGGTTAGTTAGTCTATCCTAATGAATTCGATAAAAATTAACCACGATGGTTTTTAAGTGGAACCGCGTGGAGGTCGATGGGGAATTTTTTTTTACAACTTAGAATGGCAAACAAGCTGACGGCCCACCTGATGGAAAGTGGTAACCGTCGTCTATAGACATGAGTAGTACCATGGACATAACAGAGTATACTGTTTCGCCCATGATACCATGCGTTGCCATTCCTGAGGACTCGGATGTTATTCCTCTGTACCCTGTAAATTCACGCCATATCCCACCCTTCAAACCGAAACACAGCCATGCAAACACAACTGCTTCACGGTAGAAACACGAATGGGACAGAGGTACCTAAGCAGTCGACTTTTGTACAAAGTAGAATGGTAGAATTTTTCCAGGTACCTGAAGTCTAATTCGAACTATTTAAATTTACTTAAACTAGGGCAATCGTATCTGGGGCTTTGACTTCGCATGCGCTTGCGGGTTCATTAACCGATTGTAGGCAGATAAGATACTAAAATCCATTTCGAAATATGATATCGTAGCGACCGTACCGGGCGGTTGCTATGGATACCATTGAGATGAGTAAAGCTACGTTTCATAATATTGCAATAATATCCGGGGTATCCAATCCATCTGCAGTTATGTAAACTTGGGTAAATATCTCCTTACAGTGTTATAAATGAGGAACTTTATAAAGATTTTTTTTACTAAACCACACCTAAAGGATTTGAATGGACCTTAGTACATTGATGTTTACATCTTACTAAAACAATAAATAAGATTTCTTATTCATGAGACTTAGTCAAACTCAAACTCGCGTCACAGTCGCGTATGACATGGGGGGAAGGGATTGTTAGTAATGGAGACTGAGAATCCCATTGCTAGCAATATACCCAACCAGGTCGACCTCCTCGCGGTTCCCCCTGGAAACTATCATGGTTAATTCCCGATTAATTCATCATGATGGGCTAACTGGCCTGTTTTCATTCTCATCTATCACCCTTCACTGGTGCTCCGCCAGCGTATACCGTTAGCGCAGGCAGGATTACCATACCATTTTCACCCATCAAAAAAAAGTCGCTTATGATTAAGGATCATGAATTATTTCGATACTAGTAGAGCTCTATCGATCTAATTACACTTAAACCAATAGTTTTTACATTAGAATAAACGATATCTAAGAAAAATGTATATAGCGGGTCTTAATGGTAATAGAAGTTAAAACAATAATAATTTATAGAAATTGTGTCTGTATGTATTTTTGATCCTGCATCAAGCAAAAACTGTGTTCCTCAAGTTGGAGCTTAAAAACCGATATATTGTGTATTTAATTAGTTTTCATACATTTGAAATCCACGCGAACGAAGTAGCGGGCTAAAAGCAAGTTTTGAGTAAAAGAATATTTAATATTTGAACGATATATGGTAGGTATATAGGTCAATCCGCCTGCCAAGTGTGGCAACTACTGCAAAATCCCCTTGTGGGACAAGCTACACATATGGTATTTTTTTTTGATGGGTGAAAATGGTATGGTAACCCCGCCTGCGCTAACTGGATACGCTGGCGGAGCACCAGTGAAGGGTGATAGATGAGAATGAAAACAGACCAGTTAGCCCATCATGATTAATTCATCAGGAATTAACCATGATAGTTTCCAGGGGGAACCGCGAGGAGGTCGACCTGGTTGGGTATATTGCTAGCAATGGGATTCTCAGTCTCCATTACTAACAATCCCTTTCCCCCTCTCTACACATATGGTAGGATAGATAGACAGATAGGTAGATGACCAAATACTATCTGAAAAATATAATTCATATAAGCAAAGTGCGAGTTCCAAAAGGGATAGCCCAATCTGTGCCGGGATCACAGGGCACGTATAAACTCTGATGTTAAAAGAACAATTCCTGATTACTGTATTGCATCGCCAGCAAGGCCACAGCGTAATTGTTAATGCCTACACCCTTTTGCAATTGATAACCTTGGCTATTTGTTATTATTTTCTCTTACATATTTAGTTACAAAACATAGGTACATATATATACACGTGTTGTAACAAAAGTAACTTAGCGTTGTGTAAATTGACTTATTTATACTTACATTACATTTGGAGTTTACCGTTTTTTTTTATACCACTGAGGTGGCAAACAAGCATACGGCCCATCTGATGGTAAGTGGTTACCGTAGCCTATGAACGCCTGCAATACCAGAGGTATTACGCGTGCGTAGCCGATCCTGAAGAAACCTCTTTACCCCCTTTTTGAAGAACCCCATCTCGTCTCGTTTTTATATTAATAAATCATTTATTTCGACCAACTTGGAATATTGTACACGGAATTTACAAAATTAAAGGATCTATCTATCCATTATACTTACTAAATGTTATAAGATTGTGTTTCATGTAGATGACGGTAGGGGCCGCCCTAGACAAACGTATGTTGACCAAATAGGCGACGTGCTGAAAAAGGGCCAAATTGAAAGTACCCGTAACCGGCGAGCGTGTATGGAAAAGATTGATGAATGTGGAGGAAGCGAAAGAGGTTTGTTTGAATCGAAGCATTTGGCGTTCCATTGTTTCTGCCTACTCTAATGGGAGACAGGCGTGACAGATATGATATGTATATGCATGTATGTTTTTTTTTATACGACTTAGAATGGCTGACGGCCCACCTGATGGAAAATGGTAACCGTCGCCTATAGACATGAGCAGCACTATGGACATAACAGTGCACGCACATACTGTTTCGCCCATGATACCCCCCATGCTTTGTCATTCCTGAGGACTCAGGTGTTATTCCTCTGTACCCTGTAAATTCACGCCATATTCCACCCTTCAAACCGAAACACAACCATGCAAACACAACTGCTTTACGGCAGAAACACAAATAGGACAGAGGTATCCATGCAATCGACTTTTGTACAAAGTCTCCCTCTGGTGTAATATGTATGTATATGTATGCATACATACATATTACAATTAGTTATAAGTTTTGTTGTCTGTATGGTGTTTGCCCTTCATGTATGGTGTATTACAATAATAAATGTCTATCCATCTATTTAAATTACGAACTGAATGTTTTTAAACATCTGTATTTATATGGCTGCTTCTGTTTTTTTTCTAATCAATAAATGTGTAATGCGATGCCTGTTTGGGCTATCAGATTACGCTGGCGGACTACCAGCACGTACCAGTGAGCGATGATAGGCGAAATTGAAATCAGGTCAGTTGGTCCATCGTGACGAATTCACCAGGAATTATTCACGACGTTTTCTGTGTGGAGATCAATCCAAAAGTAATATGCATTTTTTTAATAGATGAAAATGAATGGTCACCTCGCCTGCGCTATCGGTATACGGTGGCGGGGCACCAGTGTGTGATGATAGGTGAGGATGGAAAGGCAGGTCAGTTAGCCCGTCGTGATGGATACAACGATAAATTAGTCACGATAATTTCCAGGATGAACCGCGTGGAGGTCGTCCTGATATTGACAGCGATAAGGACTAACCAACAACTATTACTAACAATCCCTTTCTCCCTGATAAAATGTATTGTACAGCAAATAAACAAGACAAGAACAGACGTTGTCAAATGATACGAAATCGAAATTACAATATGAAACATTTTAAAAGTAAATCTATATAAAAATCACTATATATAATAGTATAAAACAAAGTTGCTGTCGCTGTCTGTCCGTCCTTATGTATGCTTAAATCTTTAAAACTACACAACGGATTTTGAAGCGTTTTTTTAATAGATAGAGTGATTCAATAGGAAGGTTTATATGTATAATACATGCATAATATTGTAAAGAAAGGTTGATAAATTTAGAAGTTTCTACTATGATGTCGTAAATAAACACATTTTTTGCGCTTACATTGCAAACGCTGGCTGAACCTCACGAGATAAATCAAAATAATGTACTACAGTATTGTATACCTTAAAAAGGTCAACAAAAATGTCCACGATGGTATATGTCTATCTCTTAAGGATAACCCACAATAACCATTTTTTATCCTTTACATTTTACGTGGAAAAATGGCTTATTTACGAAGTGATTTTAAGCAATACAGCATTCATTTATATCCAATTAAGTATCTTAATTACATTGTCCATTTAATATAAATCAATATGACCCTTTACAGCATGTAATTTAAATGATTATTTCCAAAGATATTACAGATTTAAAATGCAGGGACATAGCGGTGCGGCATTGCACCCGTGCGAAGCCGGGGCGGGTCGCTAGTTTAATAATAAAATATAAGGAGTTTTGCAACGACCGGTCTCCAAAAGAAGACATTGCGATTAATTCCTGGTGAATTCATCACGATGGGCCAACTGACCTGATGGGGGGAGGGTTGTTAGTAATGTGGACTACCAGTCCCATTGCTAGTAATGCACCCTGTCAGGTCTTCCTTCACGTGGTCTCTCCTGGAAGCTATCGTGCTGTAATCCAGGTGTATTCATCACGATGGGTATGACCTGCGTTTTCATTCTCAGATCACTGGTGCCTCGCTAGCGTATTCCATTAGCGCAGCTGGCATTATCATTCTATTACCTTCCATTGAAAATATGTTAATTCAGTTACCCTGTAAGGTTGGGGGAAAAGGGATTGTTAGTAATGGAGACTGAGAATCCCATTGCTAGCAATATACCTCCTCGCGGTTCTCCCTGAAAACTATCATGGTTAATTCCTGATGAATTCATCATGATGGGCTAACTGGCCTGTTTTCATTCTCATCTATCACCCTTCACTGGTGTTCCGCCAGCGTTCCCCGTTAGCGCAGACGGGGTTACCATACTATTTTCACCCATCAAAAAAACCCTGTTAGGTTGGTCTCCGCGTGGTCCCCCTTTGGAAACCATCGTGCTAAATTCCAATAGTTAATAAATCAACAATAAATTATCATCATCACCACCATAATATCAGCCTGTTCACTGCAGAACATAGCCCATAGGGGGTTTTGCCATTAGTTGTCACTCTTGGCAGATTGGCAACAAGCAAGGCTTTGGTATTTTAAGCGGGACGCTGCTGCCCATTTCTTGACTATTAAGTTCCTTTAGTCGCCTCTTACGACACCCATAGGTAAGGAAGGGGTGGCCCATTCTATGCCGGGACCACATGACAACAATAATTGTTAAATAATAATAGCAATAGTTTGCAAAGAAACAGAGTATGTTATGAATGACACATTCATTTGTCGTCATTATACTTACAAACAATCTATGGATAAATCACCATTGTTTGTCTCTACAGAGCCTTGACATCATCGTCATTAATCATCATGCGTTAGAGATTGCGTTTCGATTGCGGATGTTTTTTAAATGACTAAAAGGATTTGAATTAAAGTTTCGACTTAGTTTTTCATGCAACTAATAATGGAAAACAAGTTGACAGTCCACCTAATGGGAAGTGGTAACAGTCGCCTATAGACATGAACAGTACGATGGACATAACAGAGTATACTGTGTCAAATAACTTCATGCGTTGCCATTTCTGAGGACTAAGGTGCATTTTTAATGGGTGATAATGCAATGATAACCTTGCCTGCGCTATCGGTATACGCCGGCGGGGCACCAATGAGGGATGATAGGTGACGATGAAAGCAGGTCTGTTAGCCCATCGTGACGGATTATACTAGAATTACACACGATGGTTTCCACAGAGAACCGCGAGGAGGTCGACCTGATAAGGTTTATTGCTATTAATGGAGAAGTTAGATTTAATTTCTAACAATCCCTTTCTCCCTGGACTGAGGTGCTGGGTTACTACAGCCTGTAATTTCATCGCCATATCCCACCCTTCAAATTGAAACACAGCCATGTAAACAATTGTTTCACGGCAGCAACAGGATTGCCCATTGCTAACAATATACCCTAACAGGTCGACCTCTTTGTGGTCCCCCCTGGAAACTATCGTGCTAAATTGCAAGTGTATTCATTACGATGGGCTAACTGACCTGCCTTTCCATCCTCACCTATTATCCCTCACTGGTCACTCTGCCAGCTTATACCGTTAATGCAAGCGGGGCTACGATTTCATTATCATCTATTAAAAAAAAAACTTGGTATTTGGCATAAAAATGTGGTTGGATCAACTATTTAAATATGAGGACGGATAAATGCTTGGATTTAGGTACGGATGGTACGAATAAACCTTGAAATATCTAAATGTAAAAATGACTCATTTTCTGTTGCCAACTAAACAGGTATACGAACTTTTTAGGCAAAAATATTTCACATTTAAATAAAGATTCCTATATTAAAAATAGTATCTAAAGATTAAAGTGGTTTTTGGCGGGAAATTAAATTGACATTTACAAAATATGGCAACATCTTTATTAAAAAAAGACTTTAATATGTTAATAGCAAATTATTGACACAATAGCAAATTTTTTTTAATACAACAGAATGGCAAACAAGTTGACGGCCCACCCGATGGAAAGTGGTAACCGTCGCCTATAGACATGAGCAGCACCATGGACATAACAGAGTATACTGTTTCGCCCATGATACCCACCATGCGTTGCCATTCCTGAGGACTCAGGTGTTATTCCCCTCTGTACCGAGTAAATTCAATCCATATCCCACCCTTCAAACCGAAACACAGCCATGCAAACACAACTGCTTCACGGTTGAAACACTAATGGGACAGAGGTAACCAAGCAATCGGCTTTTGTACAAAGTCTTCCTCTAATAATTTTACAAAAAACATACTAATAGTTATTCAATAAATAAATTAACATTCAATGTCAAATTCATACAAAATAAATTAACATTTTACATATTAATATATTTCATTCAGACTTTATTTGCAAATGAATATATGAATATATTTAAATGTTTAGCAATTTTTTTAGTTTTGTATTTAATCTTATACATAGGCAATATTGCCAATATTAATATTACAAAAATGGAAATATTTCATTTTTATATGTTTGTTTGTAATGCATAAACTCAAAAACTACTCAACGAATATTAATAACTTTCATCTATAGAAAAGCTACAAGCATGTTTTGTAGCTATTACATCGTGCCTCCGGTCAAACTGTTTATAATTACTCCTCTCCATCCAAAGGTTGCCTGGAAGAGATCGCTCTCAGCGATAAGGTCGCCCATTGTTTTCTCACTGTGATTATTTCTTGTAATTGTTTATATTTATAATAAGTTTATTATTGTAATATTTTGGAGGGAACAATAAAGAGTATCTATCTATCTATCTAGGCAGACGGATTGGCAACCGCTATTAGGCTTTGTAGATGTTTTAAGAGGGATGCTGCTGCCCAGTCCTCGCTCTCCTTTAGTCTCTTATGACACTCACGGGAAAGGAAGCGGTGGCCTATTCTATGCCGGGACCACACTGCGTCATCATCATATGGGCCGTTAATTGTCCACTGCCAAACATAGGCCCCACAGGCAATATTAAAACTAATATTTCTTATGGGGTTTTTTTAATGGATGACAATGGAATGATAACCCTGCCTCCGCTATCGGTATACACTGGCGGGGCATCAGTGAGGGATTATAGGTGAGGATGAAAGCGCTGCTCAGTTAGCCCATCGTGATGAATACACCTGGAATTCAGCACGATATTTTCCAGGGGGGACCACGTGGAGTTCGACCTGACAGGGTATTTTGCTAGCAATGGGACTGATAGTCCGCATTACTAACAATCCCTTCCTCCTCTTGTATTTGGTATTTTTTTTAATGCGTGAAAATGGAATGGTAACTCCGCTTGCGCTATCTGTATACACCGGCGGGATATCAGTGGAAAATGATAGATAAGAATGAATGCAGGTCAGTTGGCCCACCATGATAATTTCGACAAAAATTAACCATGATGGTTTCCAGGGGGAATCGCGTGGAGGTCAACCTGAGTCTAATAGCCCTGTTGCTGGTAATATACCCTATATTACCAGCAACGGGGCTATTAGACCTCATTACTAACAATTCCTTCCCCCTCTTGTATTTGGTATTGGGGCTATTTATCCCTATTATTAACAATCTCTTCTTCCCCCAATCCCGTTATTTTACTGCCATATTCTTGTTTCCAGATGGGATACGCGAATTTCGAGCAGACCGGCCATGGTATACATTTGCGACAGTTCGCGAGGGCATTTGTTCTAGAAAACGATGTTGACAGCGCAGAGCGGGTAGTGTTCGTGTCTGTTGATGCCGCCATGATGGGGCATGGAGTCAGGAGAGAGGTGAGTATAGGTTAAATTCTTAGATTATATAGATAGAGTGTCTCCATACAAATGCTTCGAGAAAAGCGGCTCGACTTTTTAGTATATACAATTTTATGTGATAAATATATATGCAGTTATGAGTGATTCGATTAAAAATTCTATATTGATTTTGATTTATAAATTTTGCACCTTTATAATGCGCAAAATCTCATTTTATTTATTAAATAATTAAATATAGATACGTCAAGGTACATTGTGTGCATACGTATATAGAACACTAATAAAAAACGAGAGCAAATTTAACAGTTAGCTGACAAAAAGTTGACCCGTTTTTGACGTTCAATGCTTTTTTGTTTCCATAGTCTCTTATGATACTCTGGGAATAAAAAAGGTGATTTCATCCCGTGTGATTTTTTGTTTCAATGTGAAAATAGCATGGTGACCTCGTCTGCGCTATCGATATACTCTGGCGGGGCATCAGTGATAGATGATAGATGAGAATGAAGGCAGGTCAGTTGGCCCATCATGAATAATTCAACAAGAATTAACTACGGTGGTTTCCAGGGGAAACTGCGAGGAGTCGACGTCGACTTGATAGCGTATATGGCTAGCAATGGGACTGTTGGGACCCGTTACTAACAATCCCTTTCCCCCTGTCCCGTATGTGGAACAATGCAATATTATAATTACAATACATGTCTTGTAATTTGATGTAAATGCTGAATAAAAAATATACCTTTTTTTATTTTTCTTTTATGGCAAACAAGCTGACGGTCCACTTCATGGAAAGTGGTAACCGTTGTCTATAAATATGAGCAGTACCACGGACATAACACAGTATACTGTTTCGCCCATGATACCCCGCATGCTTTGCTATTCACTGCCATATCCCATCCTTCAACCGAAACACAGTCATGCAAACACAACTGCTTTACGGTAGAAACACGAATGAGGCAGAGGTGCCCAAGCGAACGACTTTTATAAAAAGAGTATATATATATATATATATATATATATATATATCTACTAAGAAGTTAGTATTCTTTTAAATGTTCAAAATTAATAACAAACAAACTCTTCCACTTTTTTTATTAGTATGTATAAAGAGATAGATATCACCGGTGTTGCCACACTCGAGTGTAAACATGTTTCTGTAGACATGCCGTTACAAAACTCGAAACGCCATTAACGCCAGTTGAGAAATGTTAATAAAATTTCTTCTTCAAGTGTTGCGTACTAAGGTCCATTTTCTGTTTACTGCACTTTCGTAATATAGTCGTCCAATTGAAGTCCTCTCCAAAGTTTATGGTAAATAAAAAAAAATATATATGTATTTGGAAGACCAACAGCTTTTCCTACAATACCTAACAGTAAGGATAAATTATAATAATGAAATAAAATAAATAATAAAGCAATTTAAAACATTGCTTACCTAAATAGTATTTATTATATATTAATACAAGAACAACTGGTTTGACCTATGTTTGTTTTCGTCGGGAATGCTCTATTTTATTTGTATTTATTATTATAATTAGTTGTTTTATATATTTGCGGCGTTTGTGGTTAAGACTCTGGGCCTGTGGGTTTTTTTAATGGATGATAATGGAATGATAACCCCGCCTGCACTATCGGTATACATTGGTGGGCACCAGTGAAGAATGATACGTGAGGATGAAGTCAGGCCAGTTGACCTGTCGTGATGAATATATCAATAGTCATGAAGATATCCAGGGGGAACCGCGTGGAGGTCGACCTGACAGGGTTTATTGTTAGCAATGGGGATTAACGTCCCCATCACTAACAATCTTTCTCGTCCCCAAATAAATGAATATTAAATACAGTAATGCAGTACATTTTGCGTGATGACAGTACAAATACACAGACTGATAAAAATTCGGAAAACTGTTGTTATGGTTGAACACTGTACATATATTATATATATTTTGGGATATGGCGTGAACTTACAGGGTACAGAGGAATAACATCTGAGTCCTCAGGAATGGCAACGCATGGGGGGTATCATAGGCGAAACAGTGTACTCTGTTATGTCCATGGTACTGCTCATGTCTATAGGCGATGGTTACCACTTTCCATCAGGTGGGCCGTCAGCTTGTTTGCCATTCTAAGTATATATATATATATATATATATATATATATATATATATATATATATATATATATATATATTTAATATCTTCTACGTATGTACAGACATCATCTAAATACACTATGAATATAAACACAAATGAGTATGGTTTGAAATTAACATGAAAATGAAACGTTTGCTTTATGAATGCTTCTTGCTGAAGATAAACAATGCACATATTTTTAAGTGGGTTACAAGAACCAAGGTTCGTTGCTTAATTTGTTTTAGGTATGTTAATAATGCTAAGGGTTCAAGTGTCTGGTAGAGAATATTTAATAATAATTTATTTCATGTACTTATACAGAGGACTGATCCTAATTTATATATATTCTGTATTGTATACTTGTAAGTTACATATAATATAAAGCATTTATAAATTATGTGAGCAAGGGTGGACTTATCTCTGACAGAGATCCAGTCAATCCAATACAGTGAGAATGCATGTCATATATATATATGTGTGTGTATATATATATATATATATATATATATATATATATATATATATATATATATATATATATATATATATATATATATATATATATATATATACGTATATCTTCTTCTATCTATTTACGTAGTTACACCATTACGTAGTTTACACCATTTTTCTTTACGTTACAGGATAATTTTCTTATTATATATATTATTATTTTCTCCACAAATTTTACAGAAAAATACAATTACATGAAAAAAAAATACAACTATATATAAATATAGTATAAACAATATTTCTTGATATTTTGTCTGTCAGTATGTATGTACCTATATATGTTGGATTAGATGCAGACTACAGTTTCACTGATATTTTCAAAGTAAGCAATCTTATTAATGTAAAAAAAATTATAACTTAACGACGCCTGTACGTGAGACGTTTAAAAAAAATATGTGACAGTATAATAAGACCAATAGATGCTAAAACACATTTTTTTAGAAATTTTGTCTGTCTGTATGTTTATTTAGGCATCACGTAAAAACTACTGCGCCAAATTGTGTGCGGTTTTCACAGTCGTATTCCTGAAAGTCGAACTTAAAATATGGCGTTTGTTTTATTTTGATACGCCATTTATAAGTGTTTTCTTTAATTGATTTTTCTACTAACGCGTTAAAAGCACAAAACAATACTCCGATGTAATTTTTGGTCAAGGGATTTTTTTTTGATGGGTGAAAATGGAATGATAACCCCGCCTGCGCTAACGGGATACGCTGGCGGAGCACCAGTGAACGGTGATAGATGAGAATGAAAACAGGCCAGTTAGTCCATCATGATGAATTCATCAGGAATTAACCGTGATAGTTTCTAGGGGGAACCACTAGGAGGTCGACCTGGTTAGGTATATTGCTAGCAATGGGATTCTCAGTCTCCATTACTAATAATCCCTCTCCCCCCTGGTCAAGTGATTACCAGAGGATTCTCCTCAGTACTCCACTAGATATTCATTTAATTCTAAAAGTATCCGTCAGCTTGTTTGCCATTCTAAGTTGTATAAAAAAATACGTGCGTACGAAGCCCCAGTCAAAAGCTAGTATGTAATGCATTTGTATGGTAATACCATTTTATTTATTTCTGCCTTGAAGAAGCACTTATTTGTTTAATACGTCCATTAAATACGTGAGGTGCTTTTTTTTAAATTGCACCAAATCTCTCCAAGAGGTGACCTTGGTGAGATCGACCTCGATCGGGGGGGGGGGGGGGGGGAAGAGGGACAGAATTATTAGTAATGCGGACTAACAGTCCCATTACTAGTAATATACTTTATTAGTTCGACCTCCGCATGGTCCCCCTTGGAAACCATTGTGCTGAATTCCAGGTGTATTTATCACGATGGGCTAACTGATCTGCCTTTCCATTCTCATCTATCATACCTCATCCCTCACTGGTGCCCCGCCAGCGTATATCGATAGCGCAGGCGAAGTTACCATTGCATTATCATCCATTAAAAAAAAATCCTTAGAAATGGTAACCCATGCTGGGTGTCGTAGAATATTCTGTAGTTCATGTATAAGCGACGGTTACTGCTGTTTATCAGATGGGTCATCAGCTTGTTTGCTTAAGTTGCAAAAAATATGTTTCCAGGTTCTAAAAAGGCTGAAGAAACGTTACGGCGATTTATACACGGAGGACAATGTCATCATCAGCGGGACCCACACTCACTCCACACCTGGCGGTTTCCTTATGGACTTTCTTTTCGACTTGCCCATATTGGGCTTCGTGAAAGAAACCTTCATCGCGTATGTAATTGGGATCTATAAGGTAAATGATTTAATTAACATAAAACATAGACATACTTTTATGAGGTAGTTAAAGGCATACGTGGTGAATTGACCTCAGTAACCAGTTATTTAAAAAAAAAAAATCTCGAAATCGGTTTGTAACTCACTCAGGTTATGGAATGAGCTCCCTGCCGAGGTTTTCCCAAGAGACTACAGTATGGGGTCCTTCAAAAGAAGGGTAAAAAGGTTTCTTCAGGGTCAGCAACGCGCGTGTAATAATGTAATATCCTTGATATTGCAGGTGTCCATAGGCTACGGTAACCGCTTACCATTAAGTAGGCCGTATGCTTGTTTGCCACCCCATGTGGTAAACAAAAACTGATGGAGTTAGGAGATAATAAACTTTAAAAAAAAAAAACAACCGAGTTGTGAATTTCCTTCTTTTCAAAGTCGGTTGGAAATAGCAAGATAATGTGGGAGAGGCTTATGTTGATTTTAGATTTTGGATGTTCTCGTTTTATTATTTAACTAGCGACCTACCCCGGCTTTGCACGGGTGCAAAACTGATACTAAATAGCGCCGCATTATTTGCCCCCCAACATTATTTTAACCTATTTCATAGGATTCAGTCAGCGTTTGCAATGTAAGCGCAAAAAAATGTGTTTATTTACGACATCACATTAGAAACCTCTAAATTTATCAGTGTTTCTCTACAATATTATGCATGTATTATACATATAAATCTTCCTCTTGAATCACTCTATCTATTAAAACCGCTTCAAAATCCGTTGTGTAGTTTTAAAGATTTAAGCATACATAGATACGGATAGATAGCGACAGCAACTTTGTTTTATACTATGTAATGATATGTGGTCTTACTAAAGCCTTGTAAACTTCTTGCAGAGTATAGTGATCGCACACACCAAGTTGCAACCAGCTCGGATCGAGTATGGTGAGGCGGAATTGCTAGATGCCAACATCAATAGGTCGCCTTCTTCTTACCTGAGGAATCCTCCAGAAGAAAGAGCTAGGTAAGTTCACTGATATCTGATGAAAAGAATCTATCTAGAATCTATCTAATCTATCCAAGATACCCACATCTTATACAAAAGTCGATTGCTTGGGTACCTCTGTACCATTCGTGTTTCTACCGTGAAGCAGTTGTGTTTGCATGGCTGTGTTTCGGTTTGAAGGGTGGGATATGGCGTGAATTTACAGGGTACAGAGGAATAACACCTGAGTCCTCAGGAATGGCAACGCATGGGAGGTATCATTGCCGAAACAGTATACCCTGTTATGTCCATGGTACTGCTCATGTCTATAGGCGACGGTTACCACTTTCCATCAGGTGGGCCGTCAGCTTGTCTGCCATTCTTAGTTGTATAAAAAAAAATCTATATATTTCTGTATACTGGTTTAATAACGAATGTGTTAAAAGTCTTAATCCAAAAAATAATGTTGGAAAACACTTTTAACATATTTGAAAATAGATATCCGCCCGATATGGCCGATATCGTAATGGGTGATGAACCTTTTCCGCCATTAATGTTCAGAAAAACCTATTATATAGATATCGGATCGGGAACCATATTACTCATACTTAATCATCTCCATTCTAAAGGAATAATAATAATATTAATAATTATACAATACCATTATGCCTACTTGTACAATAATTAGTCCATTACCCTAAGGTTGTCTTGAAAAGATTGCTCTCAGCAATAAGACCGCCTTACTGTACTTATACAATTGTATCGTTGTGTTTGTAAATTGTCTTGCTTATTTCCTATATTGTATAATGTAAATAAAGTATACTCATTCATTCATTCATTCATTCATTCAAAGAGGTTACTAGTGACACGCTCCGACTTCGCATATTTTGGTAATAAAATATGGCTTAATAGGATAATGGTTGATAGAACAGCAATCTTAATGTGGTTGGACAAAAGAGGTTATTTTAAAATATGTCACTAATATTCAGATACAAGTACGATGTGGACAAGACCCTCGCGCAAGTCCGTTTCCTCACACCTGCGAACGAGTTGCTGGGTGTGATCAACTGGTTCGCAGTGCACCCAACCAGCATGAACAACACCAACCGGCTCGTCTCCTCAGACAACGTGGGCTACGCCTCCATTCTGATGGAGAAAGCCCTCAATGGGAATAATACACATCCGGGGAAGGTAAGCAGATGAAAAACCAGCTTTGTGCAGCTGTTCACATTGCGCTTGGACACTCACAGCATCAGCTGAGCCGGTTCCTTTTGCCTAGTATGGGACACTTCTTATATATAATATGTATTTTCTATATTTTATATTGTGATTGTGTGTTTACTGGCAATAAATGTTTTCTATTCTATTCTATTCTAAAAAAGTCAGAAGATCTGGGAAACAATGAAAATTTATCATGGGGAGTGCTTTGAGGAATTGTTCGGATTGATACCTGTTGCTGATTTGCACCACTGTAAAACCCGCCACAAACTAAAGTTTCATCCCAACCATTTGAATGAGTGGAGGCTTTCCACCGTGTCTTTTTCAAGGCAATTTCTTCCACGCACAACCACTCTTTGGATTTAACTTCTAACAGCAGTATTTCCGAACCGATACGACATCATAACCTTCAAGAAAAGAGCATATTCCTTTTTAAAATGCCGGCAGCACACCTGCAATGCCTTTGGTGTTGTGGGTGATTATGGGCGGCAGTAGTCACTTACTATCAGATAGTCGCATGCCCGTTTGTCTCCTGTTATAAAAAAAATTAGAGTGACTGCAAAAAAAAACCTATAATATTTTTCTCAGTGATTATTTTTTGTAATTGTTTGTATCTATAATAAGTTTACTATTGTTATCTTCTGAAGGAAACAATAAAGAGTATCTATAATAATGTCTCTGATAGGTGGCGTTCATATTTTCACCCAATCACACCTATCCACTGCTCTTCAAGATAGGATGCCCTTGTTGTGTGGCGTTCATATTTTCACCCAATCACACCTATCCACTGCTCTTCAAGCTAGGATGCCCTTGTTGAGTGGCGTTCATATTTTCACCCAATCACACCTATCCACTGCTCTTCAAGCTAGGATGCCCTTGTTGAGTGGCGTTCATATTTTCACCCAATCACACCTATCCACTGCTCTTCAAGATAGGATGCCCTTGTTGTGTGGCGTTCATATTTTTACCCAATCACACCTATCCACTGCTATTCAAGCTAGGATGCCCTTGTTGTGTGGCGTTCATATTTTCACCCAATCACACCTATCCACTGCTCTTCAAGATAGGATACCCTTGTTGAGTGGCGTTCATATTTTTACACAATCACACCTATCCACTGCTCTTTAAGCTAGGATGCCCTTGAAGGGGCGGCCTATTTTCTATGCCGGCAAGCTCTTTTGATAGGTAATGGATTATTACATTTGTTTTCAGGGTAACATTATATGTGCGTTCGCGTCAACAAATCTTGGAGACGTGTCTCCGAATATTAAAGGTCCCCGGTGTGAGTTCTCCGGTAAAGTGTGCGACCAGGAGAAACTGTTATGCAAACTGCCAAAGGAGAGGTGCTTCGCATCAGGTCCTGGGAAGGACATGTTCGATAGCACCAGGATTATTGCCACGAGGATGTTCCAGACGGCTATGGTAAGAGAGTTTTAAAGTACGTCTGAATATAAGCCTTCCCTTTAAGGGGAGATTTGTCAATAGTTGCCATGTTTAGCAAGCAGATTGGCAACCGTAGTTAGGCTTTTAAAGATGTTTTAAGAGGAACGCTGCTGGCTTTTAGAGGCCATACTACTAAATAGTTTTCCCTTTCATGCTCTAGCATATTCGGAGATTTTTATATCTTTTTATGTGTCTTGGAATAATGATGGTCTCAGCTGATGGAAAGTGGTAACTATCGCTAATAAACATAAATAACACCATGAACTATATAGAACAAATTCCGATGCCTATGATATTAGGTACTTTTTAAGATTAAGGCGTTACGCTGCCGTACCGTGTAACATTACTGCCATATCTCACCTCAAACCGAAACACAGCAGTACAAGCACAGTTTGCTCTCTTTGGTAACTTATTTTAAGCAGTACAAAGACTTTATACCCGAAAGGAATTCTCGTAGTCATATTATCGTATTATATACGAAGGTTTTGTCTATTAATTATTCTATTTCTACCTTCTACTATTCTCTCTTAGAGAACTTAAACTTTGCTCACATACGGGTCAGTTTTGAAGCGTGATTTCTCTAAAGCTCTTTTTAATATTAAAACTTCAACTAGATATCACATCAAAATATTTTATTCTAAGGGCCCAATATGAACTAAATTTTTAGTAGATTTAAGTCAAAACTATTGCTGTGTGCACATGTTGTGGCAAGTTTGCCTGATATAATATTAATTTACTTGCATGTTACAGTTGAAGTTTGTATTTGTAAACTTCTGTTATTTACCAGAGGGAGACTTTGTACAAAAATCTATTGCTTGGGTACCTCTGTACCATTCGTGTTTCAACCGTGATGCAGTTGTGTTTGCATGGCTGTGTTTCGGTTTGAAGGGTGGGATATGGCGTGAATTTACTGGGTACAGAGGAATAACATCTGAGTCCTCAGGAATGGCAACGCATGGGGAGTATCATGAGCGAAACAGTATACTCTGTTATGTCCACGATACTGCTCATGTCTATAGGCGACGGTGACCACTTTCCATCAGGTGGGCCGTCAGCTTATTTGCCATTCTGAGTCGTATAATATATATATATATATATATATATATATATATATATATATATATATATATATATATATATATATATATATATATATATATATATATATATATATATATATAGATTCCTGAAATGGAAAATTGGTTCTTTACAGAATATTTTGGCGCAACCCGGCGAAGATCTAACGGGACCAGTGGGCATAGTGCACCAGTTTGTCGAGATGCCAGTACAGAAGGTTCCACCGTACGATCCAGTTTCGGAGACATTCAACGCTGTAAGTTAATTATTTTATTATCTTTTATTTTTTCAAATTCAAATTATCTTTATCCAGATATAGACTTTACAAGCTCTTTATAATTGTTATCTTTTATGATTCTATTGCTGGGTTTGGAATGTTATTATCTACTGAGAATAACCCACAAGAAAGGGGGGAAAGGGATTGTTAGTAATGGAGACTGAGAATCCCATTGCTAGCAATATACCCAACCAGGTCGACCTCCTCGCGGTTCCCCCTGGAAACTATCATGGTTAATTCTTGATGAATTCATCATGATGGGCTAACTGGCCTGTTTTCATTCTCATCTATCACCCTTCACTGGTGCTCCGCCAGCGTATCCCGTTAGCGCAGGCGGGGTTACCATACCATTTTCACACATCAAAAAAAAAACCCACAAGGAAATCCAGAGTTACTCTTTTAAATCTCTGTTAATATTATGTCTATTTATTTCAATGTACTATGTCTAAAAGTACATAGTCGTTAAAAGCCCGTGCATGATCCACTAACACCATGCACATTTGTCATTCAAGTAATCGTTTAGTGCGTAATAAACATTTTAATAGATGAAGACTGAGTGGTGCATCGGTTTATCACCATATCAGCCTTTAACTGTCCACTGCTGAACATAAGCTAGTAGTTGCCACGCTTGGCAAGTGATTTGGCAACCGCAGTTAAGCTTTAGAGATGTTTTAAGACAGACGTTGCTACCTATTCCTCATCCTCCCTTAGTTGTCTCTTACAACACCCATGGGAACGGAATGGTTGGCCTATTCTATGCCGGGAATACGGCCCAATTTACATGGCTGTATTTCCGTGTAGATGGGTCGTAGTATGGCAGTGGAATTCTAGGGTACGGAGGTCTGACAGAGTCTGTAGAGTTAGCAATGAACACACAAAACATGCAACCAGTACTATTAAATATATAAGCGACGAGTCGTTATTCATTCGTTACCAAAAGGGAGATTTTGTACAAAAGTTGTTTGCTTGGCTACCTCTGTCCCATTCGTGTTTCTACCGTGAAGCGTGTGTTTGCATGGCTGTGTTTCGGTTTGAAGGATGGGATATGTGAATTTACAAGGTACAGAGGAATAACATCTGAGTTCTCAGTAATGGCAATATATGGGGGGTATCATGGGCGAAACAGTATACTTTGTTATGTCCATGGTACTGCTCATGTCTATAGGCGACGGTTATCACTTTCCATCAGGTGGGCCGTCAGCTTGTTTGCCATTCTAAGTAGTAAAATAAAGAATCATGTTATTCTAACATCTGAGTCGGTGCGTTGGCTATTTTTGTTTTTTTGTAAAGTTGAAATTTTGCTTCTCCTATTGGTATAAGTTAGATCGTGTAGAATAAGCTATCCTTTCCTTTCCCGTAAGTGTTATAAGGGATTATGGGAGCTTATGATGGAGAAAGGGGCAGCAGCGTTTCTCTTCAAACATCACTAAAAGCTAACTTCAGTTGCCAACTTACTTGCCAAGCGTGGTAACTACTGGCAAAAACCCCTTTATGGGATAGGTCATGTTCAGCAATGGACAGTTAGTGGCTGATGCAACATTGGTATAAGTTAGTGAGGTACCAGCGAGTGATGATAGATGAAGGTGACTTCAGTTCGTTTGTACATCGTGGGTTCCTCATGGACTTCAAACTGACAGGGTATATGGGGCTGCTAAGTGGGGTTTAGCTGACACTTCCTCCCCCCTGTAGAGTTCGATGGTGTCGGGCTGCGTGCCGGCGATGGGGTACAGCTTCGCGGCGGGCACGACGGACGGGCCGGGCGCGTTCGACTTCCGGCAGGGGACCACCTCGCCCAACGCGCTGTGGGATGCTGTCCGCGACTTCGTGGCCGAGCCCTCGCCGCAAGACCTTGCCTGCCACGCGCCCAAGCCTATTCTGCTTGCCACTGGCCGGGTACCCAGCACTAACCTACTAGTTTATACCTTTCCGTCATATATTACTTCCAGCAGCAGTACTTTTAGATGGATGATAATGGAATTGTAACCCTGCTTGCGCTAACAGTATAAGCTGGCGAGACACCACTGAGGGGTGATAGGTGATGATGAAAAGACAGGTCAGATAGCCCATTGTGATGAATATACCTGGAATTCAGCACGATGGTTTCCAGGGGGGACGACATGGAGGTCGATCTGACAGGGTATATTGCTAGCAATGGTACTGGTATTCCGCATTACTAACAATCCCTTCCCCCTTTTACATTTCAGATTACATCTGATAACATTAAAAACATTTATAGAAAACAATAGTATGAACTAGATTGAGACCCAGACAAGTGTACAAACAGCATGGTTAAAGCAGTTGGCAAACAATGATAAATTATATATAGATAGTTCATTAAGTACATGTACATTTACATTATCATGGGCGAAACAGTATACTCTGTTATGTCCATGGTACTGCTCATGTCTATAGGCGACGGTTACCACTTTCCATCAGGTGGGCCGTCAGCTTGTTTGCCATTCTAAGTTGTATAAAAAAAAGTACTTTTCCACGTTTGAAATAACATAACTTATAAGACGAAAGAAAAACGTCGAAAAAAAGGGAAAAAATAATTAAAATTACGTGTTCCTGTTTTCAGATAAAGTTCCCCTACAGTTGGCAGCCCCAGATCGTCTCGTGCTCAGTGGCGCGCATTGGGGAACTGATCTTAGCGGCAGTTCCCGGCGAGTTCACCACCATGTCGGGCCGGAGGTTGCGTAGCGTGGTCTCCAAGGCCTCAGGCGGCAAGAGGGTGGTGCTGGCTGGACTATCTAACGTGTACGCGGATTATATCGCCACCCCTGAGGAGTACCAGGTATTATAGAAGGTTTCAAGTTTCCTGTCTTAAATTGGGGAGTTAAGGTTTGGTAGGGGGGGGGGTTGATTTTAGTATTGCGAATTACCAGTTCCATTGCTAATAATATATATATGTCAGATCCATAGACTCGTGTCCCCCCGTCCCCCTCCTAGAAACCATCGTGCTAAATTCCAGGTATATTCATCACGATGGGCTAACTGAGCTGCCTTTTCATTCTCACCTATCACCTCTCATTGGGGGGGTGGGGTGGGAAGGGATTGTTAGTAATGTAAACTACCAATCCCATTGCTAGCAATATACCCTGTCAGGTCGATTTCCACGTGGTCCTCCCTGGAAAATATCGTGCTGAATTCCAGGTGTATTCATCATGATGGGCTAACTGACCTGCTCTTTCATCCTCACTTATCACCACTCACTGGTGCCTTGCCAGCGTATACCGTTAGCGCAGGATGGGGTTACCATTCCATTGTCATACATTAAAAAAAAATCACCTCTCACTGGTGCAACAACAATAGCTCATGATTAATTTTTTTTTTTGTATTTCAGGAGCAAAGATATGAAGCTGCATCCACTATATACGGGCCACACACTCTAGACATATATCTGAACAAATACGTCGAGCTGACGGAGGCACTCATGGCGGTAAGTTCACCATGACGCTGTTGAGTTCTAAGAAACGAGTTTATTGTTTCTAACGATCACATACCAGAGGGCGACTTTGTACAAAAGTCGTTTGCTTGAGCACCTCTGTTCCATTCATGTTTCTACCGTGAAGCAGTTGTGTTTGCATGGCTGTGTTTCGGTTTGAAGGGTGGGATATGGCGTGAATTTACAGGGTACAGAGGAATAACACCTGAGTTCTTTTTAAAGTCAGAAATCTCCGTTTCCTTAAGTAACCGTTTAGAGTGGTTTTAATAACTTCAGTATGTTTACGCAATCAGAGCAAGAAGCCGTCGAGTGGTCCTTCGCCGCCGGATCTGAGCGAGCAGCTGATCTCGCTGGTGCCACCAGTACTATGGGATGCGGCGCCTTGGGGACACGAGTTCGGCGACTGCCTGTTGCAGCCCGAGAAACAGTACAGCTACGGGGACACCGTCGTTGCACACTTCGTAAGTACAGAGCGCTGCAGCAGGTGCAGCAACCGAGAAATGAAAAGTATTTTTTTTTATACAACTTAGAATGGCAAACAAGCTGACGGTTCACCTGATGGAAAGTGGTAACCGTCGCCTATAGATATGAGCAGTACCATGGACACAACAGAGTATATTGTTTCGCCCATGATACCTCCCATGCGTTGCCATTCCTGAGGACTCAGGTGTTATTCCTCTGTACCCAGTAAATTCACTGCCATATCTCACTCTTCAATTCGAAACTCAGTTATGCAAACAACTGCTTCACGGTTGAAACACGAATGGGACAGAGGTGCCCAAGCAAACGACTTCTGTACAAAATCTCCCTCTGGTACAAAAGGCGGACTTAATGCTAGTAGCCTTTAGTATTCTCTATCTTTGGGATGAGCAGTGAATTAGAAACGCGGTTAAGATAGATAAAGAAAATAACAATTAATAATGTATACTTACACAAAACAATAAGGTTGCTTTTTATTTGCATTGTTTATATTTAGAATCTGATCTTTTATGCAGGTGTCCGGTCACCCCCGCAACAGTATCCGGCACGGCCGCAGCTACGTCGCAGTGGAGCGGCTGCAGGAAGCCGAGGACGATGCTTGGACCACCGTCGCCACGGACGCTGACTGGGAGACCAAGTACTATAACACAGATATTGTACTAGTCTTTACTCGCGACTTCGTTTGAGTGACCAGGATATATGGATTGACTGAGATAAACAGTGACCTATATAACCTTTTTCTCTATTTGAAATAAACTCACTTTTATATTTACGAGGATTTATATATACCAGAGGGAGACTTTGTACAAAAGTCGATTGCTTGGGTACCTCTGTCCCATTCGTGTTTCAACCGTGAAGCAGTTGTGTTTGCATGGCTGTGTTTCGGTTTGAAGCGTGGGATATGGCATGAATTTACTGGGTACAGAGTAATAACACCTGAGTCCTCAGGAATGGCAACGCATGGGATGTATCATGGGCGAAACAGTATACTCTGTTATGTCCACGGTACTGCTCATGTGTATAGGCGACGGTTACTAGTTTCCATCAGGTGGGCCGTCAGCTTGTTTGCCATTCTAAGTTGTATAAAAAAAATATATATACTAGATTAGATTTCTATTGCCGTATGGTCCCGGCATAGAATAGGCCATCCTATTCCATCTATTATACCCATAAGAAAGGAAGTTTCTTGTGGGTATAATGTATCACCATCTTCGTCATCTCAGCCATTACCCGTCCACTGCTGGACACAAGCCTCCCCCATAGACTGCCATAAGGAACGGTCCTGAGCCACCTGCATCCACTGACTCGCTACAATGCATTTGAGGTCGTCATTCCATCTAGTGGGTGTAATATATATAAATAGGGGGGTGGGGGGGTCAAAGGTATTCCATTATCATACATAAAAAAATATATACATATGTAAATGTATAAATATATGTAAAAAAAAAATCATCAATAAGTTTACATTATCTTTATCAATAAACTCGACTAATTCCAGGTTCATATGGCAACGCAACTCCAAGATCCTGGGCACGAGCTATGCTGTCATCGAGTGGGAGATACCCCCCGGGACCCCGCGGGGCACCTACCGCTTACACCACTACGGCAGCTACAAATACATCTTAGGTGGAATATACCCTTACCATGGCTTCTCTGAACCGTTTGAGGTCACTTAGACACTAATGTTTCATTTTATTACTCACTTGTAAACTTTTTATGTGATATGGAGTTACAAACAAGTGGATAGTTTGTTTAACTGTCCTCTAGGGTCATGGACAGTACTGTCAACATCATACAATATACTGTGACACCTTCATACCGTACCTGAGGACTAAGATATATACTCGAATTATTTAAAATTCTGGAAAACAAATGAAATGATAAATTTGAATAATATTAAAGATTTTGTTATAAAAAAAAAGAACTAAATTATTATGAGACTATAAATATCACTTTCAAAAAAGAATCATCGGAATCGATATTGTATTAATGAAGATATAGAAAGGTTGCCTGGAAGAGATCGCTCTTAGCGATAAGGTCGCCCATTGTTTTCTTATTGTGATTATTTCTTGTAATTGTTTATATTTATAATAAGTTTACTATTGTAATCTTTTGGAGGAAACGATAAAGAGTATCTATCCATCTATAGGTAGATAGCGAAGCATTTTTTCTATACAACTTAGAATGGCAAACGAGCTGACGGCCCACCTGATGGAAAGTGGTAACCGTCGCCTATAGACATGGACAGTGCTATGGACATAACAGAGTATACTGTTTCGCCCATGATACTCTCCGTGTGTTACCATTTCTGACAACTAACGTGTTATGCCTCTGTATCCATAGTATACAGTTGAATTTAGATTTTTTTTTAATACTGTGTATCCGAATCGTGTATATTGATTTCAAAAGTACCAGGGGCATTACAGAGTATACTGTGTCACCCATGATACTCCTCATGCGTTGCCATTCTAACAACTAGGGTGTTATGCCTCCGTGTTCTAGCATACAGTAGAATTAAGATCTATTTTTTTTTAAATATAATTCATTAAAATATATTTAAATATATTCAGATTGTTTTGAATGCTAGGTTCTATTCCAGAATTAAATGGTTTCATAAAAGGATGAACGATAGTAATTTGTGATGAAATTAGCAATGAAATTGGTAAATTAATACATTTGACACCAGAGGGAGACTTTGTACAAAAGTCGATTGCTTGGGTACCTCTGTCCCATTCGTGTTTCTACCGTGAAGCTACATTTGCATGGCTGTATTTCGGTTTGAAGGGTGGGATATGGCGTGAATTTACAGGGTACAGAGGAATAACACCTGAGTCCTCAAGAATGGCAATGCATGGGGGGTATCATGGGCGAAACAGTATACTCTGTTATGTCCACGGTACTGCTCATGTCTATAGGCGACGGTTACCACTTTCCATCAGGTGGGCCGTCAGCTTGTTTGCCATTCTAAGTTGTATAAAAAAAACAAAATTTGAAATTATTGTGATAATATTCCTGAAGTATATAAAAACCAAAGTGGATTTTTATAATCTAATTAATTTTATATTAGTATGTTTAATAATAATTAACTTTTAATCACTTATTATATAACATTATACAGTCTCAGACAGTGATAGACGCAAATAGAACTGTGGAGGTCTCTGAATATACTGTGCCACCCATGTTGGTATAATAAATAGGCGGCGCAGTATATTCAGAGATCTCAATCGTGCTATTAACGCCTATTTATTTACAAGCGTTGCCGCTTTTGATGTTTATTTTTAAATTGTTTAATTAAGGGATATTTTTATCTTGCATAGATAAAGTACATTCATCATTCGTACAGGAATAAATTGCTGTAACATTTTGTACAATAATCTTATAATAAGTAAGTCTAATTATAGTAATATTTCTTTTCATCATCAACATCATCATCATCATCATCATCATCATTTCAACCATTATTCGTCCACTGCTGGACATGAGCCTCCCGACTATAAACTTAACTCTTCTTTGCATAATGGTGGAAATTTCCATCATAACATTGAATGCCCAAAAATTATATAAAAGAACGAGTTCACTTTAAGTTGATCGTGTCTGGTTACCTTCTTAATGTCCATTGCAGGAAAAAAACATAGCTGACAATTTTTTTTTTTACAATTTTTCCTTTAATTTTGAACATGAATTATGTCATCTTGATTTATTACACTAATAAAAAAAGTCATGCAAAGAAGGGTTAATTGTCCTTGTTGCCATAGCATTTACAAGTGTTTTAAATTGCAAAAAATGAGTGTCGATACTAGACTTCAATTGGTTACCGAATTTAATTTATGTTCAAATTGTTTACGATCGGGCCATAGAATATCCAATATTTCTTTTAATACTTGCTTACAGAATTTATTGGTTATACGTATTTACTGATATTATTCACAAGTCCATTTATATTAGATGTATATTTCCAAAACTAATGCAACTTATAAAATATTTTTTTGTCTATTGTTGCCTAATTCCTTAAAATTGTTTACTTCATTTCATACTGTATTGTGTTAAAGTAAATGCTGTGAATATCTTCAATAGGCGTGTGCATTAATATTGTATTTTTCATTTATTGAGCGAAGATGGAATGATAACCCCCTCCTGTGTTATCGGTATACGCTGGCGGGGCACCAGTGAAGGATGATAGATAACAGATAAAGGCAGGTCTGTTGGCCCATAGTGACCAATTGAACAAGAATAACCACTATGGTTTCTAGGGGGAACCGCGTGGAAGTCGACCTGATTGGGTGTATTGCTAGCAATGGGGATGTTAAATCTCTTTACTAACAATCCCTTACCCCCATTAATATTGTATTGTATTTAATGTTTGTTATATGTGTTATAATACAATATGACATTGATATTCCTATGAATAAATAAATAAGTTCCATAGCTCTAAAGTAACTATTACAAAATTAATAAGTAACTTGGTAGAATAAGAGATTTGAAGAGTTTAAGAGATATATTAAAAAGTTGATTTCAACGTATATTGAATTAGTCTGTGAAAATCTATTTGAATTATCTGAAATACTCATTAATTGATTATTATTCCATTATTAAAAAAAAAAAACATAAAACATTTTATGTTAAAAACACAAAATAATTTCAGATAAAAACACAAAATAATTTCAGATAAAAACACAAAATAATTTCAGATAAAAACACGAAATAATTTCAGATAAAAACAAAATAATTTTAGATAAAAAACAAATTAATTTCAGATAAAAACAAAAATAATTTCAGATAAAACACAAAATAATTTCAGATAAAAACAAAATAATTTCAGATAAAAACATATAAAGTAATTTAAGATATTGATCCACAAAAAAAAAAATAACTGACTTTAAACATTGCAACTATTGAACAGTTTTTAATTAAGTTGCTATGGGACGAAGTTGAAAGTATTCTTTTTCACATAAAAGAAAAAAAAAATAACAAATTTGTTTATAATTATTATAGTTGGAATTTATTAGATGTGCCTTGTTCGATTTTATAGATTCAATCATTCGGTTTAATTCGTTATCAATTATGTGCTAAGTCGAAGTTTTTCGAATTAAAGTATTATGGTATTCGTTAATTTATTTATTTATTTATTTATTTAAGGACAACCAGCAAAGCATACATTTATATCTACTTAAAATTCATGATAATATGGTTACATTATAAAATGCTGCCTCAATTAAAGGCCGCCACGACACGCGTATACATAATATATTATTATTATTAAGAAAATTTATAAAAACTACAATACTAGTTATATAATAAATAGACTACAGTAATATTTTAATTTCAAAGATTTGTACACTTATAATCTATACATATGTGCAATGATACATGCATGAATGAATTTAACAAAAGAATCTATACAAAGTGGATTTGAATTTGTTTAAGGTCGTGTTGATATCAATATTAATATTAGGCAATCGTGACAACTGACTATACTGTAACTGCATTCTGTTAATAGCTGAGAAATGGCCTAGTTAATAAGAAATTACAATCGAAATGAGAACTTTCTCTTTTATATGAAGTCGGTTGTGAAATTTAATATTGACTACGAGGACTCGGTCAAGTTTTGGAGTATTGGAGTATTTGAATACGTTATCAGATTTGAGTATTCTTTGGATTGATTTTTTTTTTCATTAATAATTAAAGAAAATTCGTCGTGTGGTCCGGACATTGAATAGGTCACCCTTTTCTTTTCGGTGGGTGTAGTAAGAGGCAACTCAAGGAACATATTATGAATAACTCGTATACGAGTCCTGTATATTCACTTGAACAGTACCATAGATGTCACAGTGTATACTGAGTCACCCATGATACCCTTCATGCGTTGTCATTCTTGAGGACTAAGGTGTTATGCTTCTGTCTGTACCCTGACTACCTGACTACCTGAGTACCTATTACTCGAACTAATAATCGAGTCAGCTTGACTCGATACATAACTAATATACTTGTTATCTCATTAGTGAAATGAAATGAATATTAATTTGTCAAAAACATTTTTAGATAGATGATTAACTCTACGAATGACACACTAGGCATGCAAGCCTGTGTCGTGTAATTCAGAAATTAGATTTAGCTATGGTGGTATATTACTTATTAGTTTTTAACCGACTTCAAAAAGGTGGAGATTCTAAGTTCCATTGTATTTTTTTAATAGTAAACTGAAGATACTATTATAATATATTTTAGTATTTAAATATATCGTCTTGCCTCTAATACTTGTAAGTATTATAAGTTGCCTAATTTACACTAAAAATAAAGTAGAATCTCGATTATTCGAATCAGATAAAACCAGGCGTATTCCGGATAATCGAAAATCCGGATAATTGATTTTAAAGTCGAATCAAACAATAACACAATTTTAATATTTTTTTTTATTATGCAAAGGGTTTTACATAAGTCATTTAGATAATACAATATAAAAAAAAAATACTATAAAGATAATAGATTACCTATTTACCCAATTAATAATAATAATAATAATAAATTTTGTCGGTAAACGGTCTTATCCCAACCGACTGGTTGGAACAACATCTCAGACGGTTGGTATTCCGAGGCGGCTCACTCCCGGGAAAGATGCAGAAAGCGGTGCTCTTAGATTCTGCCCGCATTGTACGCCGGTTTCTCTCCCTGGAGCCCTGAATCTCGGCCGACTGTACTTCTGCCGGGAGTTAGTAGCCATCTCCTCTCTTTAAGAGTGGAGATGTGAATTTTTTAGAAATCTAAATAATAATAATAATATCTAATACCATTTCTAAATCGATAATTAGAGAAGTGAAAAATAAGTCCGGATAATCGAATATTCGGAGAATAGATGTTCGGATAATCGACATTCTACTGTACATGTGATTTAATAATATAGTAATTATTGTGCGTGCGTTTAAACCATATGCAAAAGTTTTATCTTATTATTTTGTATTTAATTGTCCATGGTAATTCATATCGCTGTTATGTGACATAGATAAGGGGTCATTTAAGGAAATTTTTATATATTTTTTTATATATTTAGATATATTTTAGATTAATAACATCTAAATAGAGCGTTTATTTAACAAACCTTCGTTGAAATACCATTTGCTATATTTAAGAGAAGATTATTTTTCAGGGGGAGGGCATGGAGGTATCCTGGCCTCAGCTATGAGCTGGCACTTTGTTCATAACTAAAAGCTTCGTTCCTAACTCCTGGGGTGGGCACCAAACAATTATACGGTAGGCACGAATAACCTGATCGCCCTTGTATTTGTAATAAAAATGGCCCAATATATATTTGCATAAGTGAAAGTGAGTTACGCGTCCGAAAAATTGTTTTGTTTTTTTTTTATGGGTGAAAATAGAATGGTAATCCTGCCTGCGCGAACGGGATACGCTGGCAGAGCACCAGTGAAAGGTGATCGATGAGAATGAAAACAGGCCACAGGCCTATGAATTCACAAGGAATTAACCATGATAGTGTCTAGGGAGAACCGCGAGAAGGTCGACCTAGCTAAAATTATTTTGTTTAAAAATAAATACGTAAATTAATTGTCTATTATCCATAGTATTTTTGATGAATGATAATGGAATAGTAACCTAAATAGTAGCTTAAAATAGTAGCCTGCGCTAACGGTATACGCTGGCGGGACACCAGTCGTGATGAGTCCACCTGAATTTCAGCACGATGATTTCCAGGGGGGACCGCGTGGAGGTCGACCTGACAGGGTATATTGCTAGTAATGGGACTGGTAGTCCGTATTAATAACAATTCCTTTCCCTCTCTTTTAACAGGTTTAAATAAATGTCGCCTTGGAATCGATCCCGCTGTAGAATAAAAAGGAATCAATTGTTAACTGCGTCGTAGAGGGGGGAAAGGGATTATTAGTAATGGAGACTGAGAATCCCATTGCTAGCAATATATCCAACCAGGTCGACCTCCTCGCGGTTCCCCCTGGACACTATCATGGTTAATTCCTGATGAATTCATCATGATGGGATAACTGGCCTGTTTTCATTCTATCACCATTCACTGGTGCTCCGCCAGCGTATACCGTTAGCGCAGGCGGGGTTACCATACCATTTTCACCCATAAAAACTGCATCGTAGAATTTTTACGTGGATTTAAACATTAAAATCTAAATTAGTCATTGATTATAGAGTAGGTAGCGTGATTTTTTATGTAAATAAGAGATAATACTCGTAATACACCTAATGTGAACTATGTCAATCTCATACATTTAATATGTATGACTAAAAATACCTTATTATCTTTCATTCTATGGTAGCCATCAATATCTAATGTGGTAAAGTTGTGTTTTGCGAAGGATTTGTAAGGAATTCTAAGCAATTACCCAGCAGTGGGCAATGTAATAATGTATTATATTATTGTGCATTATAGATGTGTGTATATACATATATATATATATATATATATATATATATATATTAATGTAGGTCTGTTAATAACGAAAATACGTAATAAGAAATTGTGCCAATAAAGTTATTTTTTTTAAACCTTACTGCAGTATTATTTATTAGGTACTAGCTTTTACTCGAAATTTCGACTTAATTGACTTTAGCAATTAGGGGGTCTACCATCAAATGAAATTTCGAATTTTCGGATTCAATTCAATGTTTTTGTTCATACGAGAAATCGGCTCAGTAAATCGAACTTAACATTTTGTTCGTCATATATCCTACCATAAAAGTTCAAAGAAATAATATTTTAATTTTTTTTATATTTTTATTTATTATGTAATTTTAACATAAATATTATTCATTATTAATTATTGTTTATTGTACACAAAAAGTTATTGAAATGGATAAAACAAACATAATAGTGCACAAAAGCAAGCTTATCTCTAAAAGAGATTTCTTCGAGCAATCCCAATATGAGAAAAACTGACAGTTTATTAGTAGTTACAGTCATATATATGTACCAATTGTACCATTTTATCACGCTCCGAAATGTCGGAAAACCATTTCATGGTAGATCCACAAGATATGTTTACCAGAGAGAGACTTTGTACAAAAGTCGTTTGCTTGGGTAGCTCTGCCCCATTCGTGTTTCAACCGTAAAGCAGTTGTGTTTGCATGGCTGTGTTTCGGTTTGAAGGGTGGGATATGGCGTGAATTTACAGGGTACAGAGGAATAACACCTGAGTCCTCAGGAATGGCAACACAGGGGAGGTATCATAGGTGAAACAGTATACTCTGTTATGTCCATGGTACTGCTCATGTCTATAGGCGACGGTTATCACTTTCCATCAGGTTGGCCGTTAGCTTGTTTGCCATTCTAAGTTGTATGAAAAAATGTTTACTGATCGGGATAAAACGTTGCCTATATCCTTTTCCATCCTATATAGTCTGTATCCACCAAATTTCATAAGTATTTGTTAAGCCGTTAAGACGCTATAAGGTAACAAACAAACTCATTTTCACATTTGTAATATTAGTAGGTATTTTAACACAACAAATATGGTGATAGCATTTTTTTATTAGACTTACGTTTTTTTTAACGATAGATGGAATGGATGGATGGAATGGTAACCCCGCCTGCGCTATCGGTATACACTGACGGGGCATCAGTGGAAGATGACAAGTGAGGACGAATGCAGGTCAGTTGTCCCATGATGAATTCGACAAGATCAAATCGTGTGCAAATTCATCAATGAATCGATCCTTATTATTTTCAGGGGAACCGCAAGGAGGTCGACCCGATAGGGTATTTTTTTAATGGGTGATAATGGAATGGTAACCCCGCCTGCGTTATCGGTATACGCTGAAGGGGCACCAGTGAGGGGTGATAAGTGACGATGGAGCAGGCCAATTAGCCCATCGTGACAAATTCCACTAGAATTAACTACGGTGGTTTCCAGGGGGAACCGCGTGGAAGTCGACCTGACAGGGTGTATTTTTAATGGGTAAAAATGGAATGGTAATTCCGCCTACGCTATCGGTATACACCGACGAGGCACCAATGAGAGATGATAGGTGAGAACGAATGCAGGTCAGTTGTCCCACCATGATGAGTTCGACAAGAATTAACCATGATAGTTTCTAGGGGGAACCGCATGGAGATAGATAGATAGATAGATCGATAAATAGTTTATTTGCATTTTTTTACAGCACACAAACAGCAAAAGACACAAATGCACAGTGAAAAAAGATAAAAAAAGATACATGTACAAAAAATTAAAAAAAAAATCAAAAACAAAATCAGAATGCATAAAATTTGTAACAGTTTTGACGTAAAAGGTTATATTGTTAGCCTTACTTTATTACTAACAATCCCTTCTCCCTTTCGAAAATGTGTACATTTTCGAAAGGGAGAAGGGATTGCACACAAGTAAACTTGAATAGGCAATATAATTATCATTCACAAATAGATAATCAATATTTATAACGAAAGATAAAAAAAAGGCAAAAATTTAGGGGATTTGGATAATTAATCGTATTTTTGTATATTGTAGATAATTTTATTACAGATTAACGGTTATCAATTAACTATATTTCACGTTATCTTTTTAATTTCAGTAGCTCGCGGTGTGGCAACACGCCAGCACTCAGTTGATTAGAAATAAATAAATATTTTATTTGTTTTTTAAGCAGTAATAAAAAGTGTAAGTATTCATTTATTTTGATTATTAGCACAAATTGAAAAGGCGAAAGTGGTCTTGATATTCTATATATTTTTATGTATTTTTAATTTGCAAAAGATGCTTTTTTAATTATACAGTACTATCATACCTACTTGTACAATAATTAGTCCTACACCTTAAGGTGGTTGGTCCCTAAACAAAAATAGACACAACATACTAGATGGCGCTAGAATCGATTTTTGCAGTTTTTATTGATTATTTTATAATTAAAGATAATTTGAAGCAAAATTTCTAAATTTGCGGACGGTCACATTAATTTTTTACCAATATAGTAATAATTTATCATCTTTTTTATTCTTATTCTCCTGTGTTGTACATTTTTTTAATTTTTTGTCTTCAAAAGATTGCTCTCAGCAATAAGACCGCCTTACTGTACTTATACAATTGTATCGTTGTGTTTGTAAATTGCCTAGCTTATTTCCTATATTGTATAATGCAAATAAAGTATACTCATTCATTCATTCATTCTATTGTTTCTGCCTACCCTAATAAGAGACGGGCGTTACGATAATTATGTATGTATTATCACAAAATACATGAAAAAAGTAACATATTTTTTAATTTCGTACGTGTGCCATAGTGAGATAAAATGGTCACAACTCAATTTATTGCTTGGCTCTAAAAAAAAAAAAAATTTGATATTCGGTTGTGGGCAGAAGCTTGGCTAAAAATGACGGATATGAGGGGCATTTTCTGTTATTCCAAATGCGTTGTACTATTGGTAGAAGAACGAGGATTCGCTATATTTCATTCTTCTTAATACCCAAATCGACCATAGGGCAAGTAGAGAAGTTTATTTTGTATAGTATGTTATCTGTCCTTTATTATCATCATTATTTGAGCCATTATCCGTCCACTGCTGGACATAAGCCCCCATAGACTGCCATAAAGAACGGTCCTGTGCCACCTGCATCCACTGACTTCCTGTAACGCATTTACTCCATCTAGTGGGGGGTCGTCCTATACTGTCTGCCCTTATATATATTTATTTATATGTATAATGGGAATTTTGTGAATTTATTATGTTTGTCGTTTCCAACAATTGTACGAGGGGGAAGAGATTGTTAATAATGGGGAGATTAGTTCCCATTGCTATCAATGTACCCTATCAGGTCCACGTGGTCCCCCCTGTAAACTATTGTGACTAATTTATCGTTGAATTCTTCACGATGGGCTAATTGACCTGCTTTGACATCTCGAAAGCCTAACTGCGGTTGCCAATTCGCTTGTCAGGCATGGCAACTACTGGCAAAACCCTCAAGGGAGAGGCTTATCTTTAGCAGTGGACAGTTAAAGGCATCAGTGTTGAAAAAGATGATGTTAAATAGAGATCGTTAAAGACACAAATTTTAAAAATTGTATTGCTCTGCTTCTGTTATATAAATTCCTGATTTCTTTTCCATACATACATTTCTTAATATAAACTCTCTGCTCTCGCTGGCAATTATGTAGACACAATTCGTATTTCTTCAATAAACAAAAAAACTCTTTCAGAAAACAATGGTTTCTTTAACTACCAAACTACTGTTAGCTGTGGTGGCTTTAGCCGTCGTTGGTGGTGTGATTGCTGTCATAGTGGTGTTTGTGGACCAAGAGTCTGACGCTGATACTGATGGCGTCGCATCCTCCACCAGTACGACAGAAGCCCCAGATCTGGATGGCATTGTTTATGAAGTGGGAGTGGGCATAGCGGATATGACTGGACCGTGCGTTGAAGTAACATTCGTAAGTATATACTTATTAGTATTAAAAATGTGCCATGTGGTCCCGGTATAGAATAGGCAACCCTTTCCATTCCTATGGGTGTTGTAAGAGATAATTAATGGAACTTAATGGTCGATGAACGGGCTGTAACATCCCTCTTAAAACACTACCAAAACCTAACTGCGATTGCTAATCCACCTGGTAAACGTGGCATCTATTAGCAAACACCCCTCTCCACTTATATAAATAACTCAAGCTAGAATTTCTTGTGTGCAACGAATATAAGAGATACAACTCAAAACACCTTAACCTGAGCTAATTTACTGATCCTGGGAACTTGGAGCCTGGTCTGACTGATGGCCCGCAAGATAGAATATGACAACAGTACCTTTTAAATACATATATCACCGTATATCTAACTGTATCATACTGATATTCCGTTGTTATTAATCTTTACTTCAAACCAACGCATAGTCCTGCAAGTAGAGTAGTTTTACGCCAAAAACACGAGTGAAACAGAGGTTTCCAAGCACATGGGATCTGTACAAAGTCTTCTTCGGATTCAACTGTAGAGATTTATTTATATTTTGATATCCAGATGGGTTTCGCTGCGTTCGATCAGACTGGTCGTGGTCTCCATCTACGACAGTTCTCCAGAGCGTTTATATTCGTTAAGGGCGATACGAGAGTGGTGCTGGTCAACACAGACATCCAAGCCGTGGGTGTACACGTGAGACGGGAGGTAAGTTGTATTATAAATATGAATGTGTATTTATTTGTTCCTCTTAGCGCTTTAAAGGATTCACAAATCGTCATGAACTTTGGCATACACTTGGCATTTGAGAATGGGAAAGACATAAGCTACTTTCTATTGTAGTTAGTGATAGATTTGTCTAACAACTCTTGATTGTAGTGTATTTGAAGAACCCCATGCTGTAGTCTCTTGGGAAAACCTCGGCAGGGGGCTTATTCCATAACCTGAGTGTTCGTGGGAGAATATATCTTTGAAACCGGGTTGTACACGACCATTTAGGCTGTAGGGTATAAGGGTGAACTCCCTGTCGATGGCGAGCCGTACGATAAGCTATTTCAAACTCATATTTGGATAATTTGAAAATACATCGTTCTTTGGAAGTCATGTAAAATCGTCTAACCATATGTCACGGTAGAAGTGTCCATGTTGAGCGAAGATGATCGTGAAATTATTGACACCAGAGGGTGATACTCTTATTCGAATAGAGTAGTATTCATATATCAATATATCTCGGTTATACATCGGGTAAGTGTATTTCATTTTATTATTTTAGGTGGTAAATAGACTTCAACAGGAGTACGGCGATATATACAGTTTAAGGAACGTGATCATAACTGGCACTCACACACACGCCGCGCCTGGAGGCCATCTAGTCGACTTCCTGTTGGACTTCAGCATTCGCGGCTTCTCTCAAGACGCTTTTAATGCTTACGTTGAAGGCATCACAAGGGCATGTACTCGATACATTTTTGCTTGCCATATTCGAGAGCAATGCACCGTTAACACTATTTCCCGCTTCCACCCCTTCTTTTCAATATCTCCCTCATACTTTCCATCTTTCGTAAACAATGAACCAAAATATAGAAACTTAGTCTCTGCTCTCTTTCATCCCCTATTATCTGACATGTCGTTAAACTTTCATTCCTCTCAAAAACCTTTGTTTTCTTCGCATTTATGTCCATACCTTTTCTTGCATACGCTTTATTCTTTATGGCCACCATTTGTTGGAATTCATATTTCGACGATGCAAGCAGTACTTGGTTATTGGCGTATAAAAGAGTCTTAACATTTTATTGCAGAGCATAATTCGAGCACATGAGAACATTGTACCAGCTCGATTATTCTACGGTACCACTAGAGTGGCGAATGCCCAGAAGAACAGATCACCCTACTCCTACGATTTCAACCCCATCGAAGAAAAACTCGAGTAAGCTTATTTTAATATTTAATCGATTGATTTACTTATTTATTTATACTTTACTGGCATTTCATAACATTTATAATTTACTAGCGGACATTTTTACAATATTTTAAAAAGTTGTTAATATGACATAACGATAATAGTTGGACATACAGTATCGTGAAGTTTTTTGTAGTTATTGATATTTTCTTTAATATTGTAGAACATACTTTTGTTCTATCACCAATATTGCCAGGCTTTTAAAAAGAACTATGCTCTTTTCTTGAAGGTTACGATGTCGTATCGGTTCGGGAGTACTGCTTAAAAATAAAATAATAAAAATAATATACTGTTTAAGTCTCCTCCTGGTGAATCGATGGTGGAATTAACCTTGCAGACGACTGTACAGTTTCCTGATAAAATTTCAGGTATGAGAACAATGTGGACGATATATTAACCCAGGTGCGAATAGTGAAAGCGAATGGTGACCTCCACGGCGTCCTAAACTGGTTCGCTATACATGCCACCAGCATGAACATGACCAATCGACTCGTCTCATCAGACAACCTTGGATATGCTGCCATCACTATGGAGAAGACTCTAAACCCTGACAATCTAGTTGGGAAGGTGAGATATCTAATCTTTATTTACTTATTAGATGCACAAGACAGTTCCCTTGTAGTTCCGGCATAGAATAGGCCGTCTCTTTCTTTCTAGCGGATGTCGTAAGAGGCGACTAAGGGAGGGCGAGGAATGGGCAGCAGCGTCTCTCTTAAAACATCACCAAAGCCCAACTGCGGTTGCCAATCCGTCTGCCAAGCGTGGTAACTACTAGCAATATCCCCCTTAGGGGGAGGCTTATGTTCAGCAGTGGACAGTTAAAGGCCGATGTGATGATGCTGAAGACAGTTTAACTACAAAACATTTAAAAGCATCGATACAGATTTTTTTTCCTTTTTCCTTTTTTTTTTACAACACATGGGGCATGGAGCATGCGGCTCACCTGATGGTAAGTGACTACCGCCGCCCATGATCGCCCACAACACTAGCGGCATTGGAGGTGTGCTGCCGGCCTAAAAAGGAATATACTCTTTTATTGAAGGTTATGTTGTCGTATTGGTTCGGAAATATTGCTGCTGGAAGTTGATTCCAAAGAATGGTTGTGCGTGGAAAAAAGTGCCTTGAAAAACGCACGGTGGAAGACCGTCACTCGTCCAGATGATTGGGATGAAACTTTAGTTCGTGGCGGGTTGATTATTTGTATTATGACAAGTTGCAAAGCCAAATAGACAGAATGAATAAGAAATCTTATATTTGAATATTAATAAAACATAATTAATAACATAACCTCAAATGCATTGCAGGGAATCATTGATGCAGATGGCTTGGGATTATTCCCTATGGCAGTTTATGGGGGAGTCTTTTGTATAGCAGGGGACAGTTAATGGCTCAGATAAAATATAAAAAAAAAAGTTCTTTTTTTTGTGGAACAAATCAGTTGAAAGATGCACGTTTTATATGCTACTGGTCAACTGCAAATGAATTTTATCTGTCGATTTCTAATGTATTTTGTTTAATTATTATTTAAACACATAGTACACTATATCATTCTCCAGACCTCTAGATTCCATATTATCAGTTTCATTATGATTTTCAAGAATGGCAAACAAGATTGATTGTACCGTTGTGGTTTTTTCTTTTCGCTTAATCAATACGGAGTTATTCCTCTGTACCCTGTGATAGTTATTTTATACACTCCCATATTATTATTATTATTTATGTTGTAAACTTAATTGTTATTTGAAAAAAGCAACAGCTGTATTTCTTGTCAGTTTTTCGCAGCTGAAATTTCATTCCGAAATTGTCGGTAAGATAAAAAAATATTTTATATTGGCTTTAATGTTTATTATTGTTTATTTGCATAAAAAAAAATATTTTTATGATTTTTTATTTATTCATAATATAGTAATCTTTTGGAGTAATAAAGAATATTTTTATTTATACTAGTCTAGAATGTACGTGCATACCAAATTTTATAATGATTTGTTAAGGCATTAAGGATGGAAAGTGTAATAAACAAACAAATGTCGCCTATAGACATTATTAAATAGTACCATGGACATAACAGAGTAGACTGTTTCGCCCATGATACCCCCCACGCGTTGCCATTCCTGAGGATTCAGGTGTTACTCCTCTGTACCCAGTAAATTCACGTCATATCCCACCCTTCAAACCGAAATACAGCCACGCAGACACAACTTTTTTACGGTTGAAATACGAATGTGACAGAGGTATCCAAGCAATCGACTTTTGTACAAAGTCTCCCTCTGGTTTAGCCAAAATATCTCACCTGTTTCCTCTTTTTTGCGGTTCGTGTGATTTAAAATCCAAAATTGACATTTTCAGCCAAATATTGTGGCTGGTTTCTTCACGTCGAACTTGGGTGACGTTTCCCCAAATTTGGAGGAGGCTCGTTGTGAGTTCAGCGGAGAGATATGCGACAATCAGTTCGCGATATGTGGTGCGGGCGAGCGGTGCTACGCCTTAGGCCCAGGAGATGATATGTTCGAGAGCACCAGAATTATTGGCAGTAGAATGTATGAGGGCGCGATGGTAAGAGAATAAAATAGAGTACAAAAGAAGGGAATGGAAATACATCGGTATTTCATTGAATATTTAATTGAATATTTCTAGATTTTTTTTTATGAATTTATTTATTTATTTAACTATTTATTGAATCAGAAACATAAATATATACAAAGACAATAGAATAAATCAAGTGAAATACAGTAATATAAATACAGATTGAAATATATACATAAAGGTACAAAAGGCGGTCTTATCGCTAGAGCAATCTCAATTTACTATGGAGTTTGGAATTTTCTTACCTGCCGAAGAGGTTCGTTTTCAACCGACTTTAAAAATAAAGAGGTTCTCAATTCGATTTTTTTTTATGTTTGTTACCCCATGACTTCTTCGATTTGGAAAATTCTTTTTTAACTGGAAGGATATACTTTATATTATTCTCAATTCCGTGTATAATATAAGGTTCTTTATATATATTTATTCGTTTATTTTTTTAGTACGTATGTATATCAATAATTAGTAGTACCGCACACAATTATTTTGACTTTCTGACATCTTCCCTATGGTGGAAAATTCTTTTAGCATTAACTGTTTTCGCGAATGACACATATTTGTACTAATGAATAAATAAATAAATAAATAAATATACTTACAGTTTGGTCCTATAGAAATTTTATCCAAATCGGTTAGGTGGTTTAATGTTTAAATAAAAATATGTTAATTAATATAAAAAAAAAGTTCTTTTTTGTGGAACAAAATTCAATTTGAAATCAGTTGAAAGTGAGTAAAGTTTTATATGCTCGTATACGTCGTGTCCCGAGGACAAAATTATGAAAATGAATTTTATCGTCCTCGGCATCAGTACTCTATTCCTTTCTAATAAGTATTTTGTTTAATTATTATTTAAACACATATCGGTTGGGGGCCTGGTGATCTGTACTACAGGCCTTAACCTATTACAGACACCAGCTCCTCACAGCAGAGTTCCATATTATTTTAATTCTATTTTATCCTAAATAACTATGTGTAAATTTATTTTTTATTATTATACAACTTAGAATGGCAAGTAAGCTGACGGCCCACCTGATGGAAAGTGGTAACCGTCGCCTAGAGACATGAGCAGTATTATGGACATAACAGAGTATACTGTTTCGCCCATAATACCCTTCATGCGTTGCCATTCCTGAGGACTCGGATGTTATTCCTCTGTACCCTGTAAATTCACACCATATCCCACCCTTCAAACCGAAACACAGCTATGCAAACACAACTGCTTCACGGTAGAAAAACGAATGGGACAGAGGTACCCAAGCAATCGACTTTTGTACAAAGTCTCCCTCTGGTTGTTTTAAGTTGTTTGTGAGGAAACATAAATAAATATATTATTATATTAATAAGAGAAAAATGATGTTCCAGGAGGTGCTGAATACCCCGGGGGAAGAGTTAACGGGCGACCTTGCGGTTATACATCAATTCATCGACATGCCAGACGAGAAAGTGTTTAGATATGACCCCGTGTCTAAAACTTTTAATGAGGTAAGACACAAAGACAATTTTCATGAAACCCTAATGATAATCAGGTAAGCAAGATCCCATACTAGGGCACTTCTTTCAAATATTTTATATTGGCTTTAACCCACCACTTTGTGTAACCGGGATATGTTTATTGACCGGAAATAAAAAGCAGCCTTTTTTGTTTTCTCACTGTGATCATTTCTTGTAATTGTTTGTATCTATAATAAATTTACTATTGTAATCTTTTGGAGGAAATAATAAAGAATATCTATCTATCTATCTTCTTCTTTATTCTACAATGTACGTGCATACCAAATTTTATAATGATTTGTTAAGCCATTAAGGCACTAGAATGTAATAAACAAACAAATTCTCATTTTCACATTATTAAATATTAGTACGGATTATTATTTATGTGCAGGACGAGGTGGTGAGTGGTTGCGTCCCAGCGCTGGGATACAGCTTCGGTTCTGGCACCACCGACGGAGCGAACACGCTGAATATCACTCAGGTTTCCTCTTGTATTATATTTATTAAATACTTAAAACCTAAATAACTGGGACAAGGACAGGAAGACGATGATGGATAAATACTTATAAAATACTTGCCGTTTATGTTTTCACATAAAAATGTTTGCTACTTCAGCTTGCTTATCCTTCAGGTAATGTAGTCGACTTTAGTTCTTTTGCGGTCCTCATTTCGAATTCTGTCACGCAAAGAAACTCTGAGCATAGCCCTCTCTATATCTCCTAAGTAACTTGAAGCTTCTGCATACGGAAAATCGTGTAGGACCAAGTTTCGGTCTTCGTCTTCAAACGTTGAGGTATTTTGGATGAAAAGATGTTGCGTAATTTTTCGAACGCTGGCCAGCCGAGTTGGATTCTTCGGTTAAACTCTTGGTCGAAATCGGACTTACCTAGTCGAACAATTTGTCCCAGGTACTAGACATCGTAACCTAATATACACTTCAACATTTCGATATATCTATAGTAAATCTGGCACTGCTGGAGGGAGTGTAGTACCGCCCACGTCTCTACCGGATCAAAAGCTTCCTCATAGTCCACAAACACCAGACATAGTAGCAGAATATACTCTTCGGTCTTCTGTATAATCTGCCGTAGCGTATAAATGTGGGCTATGGTGTTAAAGATCTTTCGGAAGCCAGCTTGTTCGGGTGGCTGAAAGTCGTCGAGTTTGCGCGTGAGACAATTGGTCAGGGCTTTCGAAAACAGTACGTTAGACTATAGATTACAGTATTATAGAACAATATCCCTTCTAAGTCTTGTCTGACTTAGAAGCGATATTGTCAATAGGGTATTGTAACTCTTCTTGAAGAAGAAGACTATGTATGAAGTCGATACGAGAATAAACCTTATCAACTGACTTAACGAACAAGTTGCGTATCTATGTTATACAAAAAAGGTGGCGAATTAAGTGTGTGAGAGACATTAACACTTAAAATTGTTTTAAGCGATTTCGTAAACAATAAAATCACTTAAAAATAATTTTTGTTTTTAGGGTACGTTAGATGGGGTTCCTTTACTGGATGCAGTGACAGGACTCGTGATGGGACCCACAGATGAAGACATAGCTTGCCATCACCCAAAACCTATTTTATTAGCCACCGGAAGGGTGAGACAATATATTTATTTAATGTAATTTCGTATGTGTGAATTTTGGAAGTAGGAAAACTAATTAAATAAACTATTTTTACTTAAATGACGTATTAAAATTAAACATACTCCAGAATTTAAATTATTTTACCAGAGGAAGACTTTGTCCAAAGTCGTTTGCTTGGGCACTTCTGTCCGATTTATGTTTCTACCGTGAAGCAGTTGTGATTACATGGCTGTGTTTCGATTTGAAGGATGGGATATGGCAGTGAATTTACAGGGTACAGAGGAATAATACCTGAGTCCTCAGGAATGGCAACGCATGGAGGTTATCATGAGCAAAACAATATACTCTGTTATGCCCATGGTATTGCTCATGTCTATAGGCGATGGTTACCACTTTTTATCGGGTGGGCCAGCTTGTTTGTAAATTGTAAATTGCTTAAAAAAAGAACAAAAAAGAAAATAACAAATTGTTATTACATTAATTAAATTCAGCGTTAGAGATTATTTATATTTTAAGAATTCTTCAACACTATAGAAGCTCCACTCGACAAGTTTCTTTTTTAAATGAATATTGTCTTTAAATTTATGTAGGCCAATGTGCCGATCCCGTGGCACCCTCGGATTGTGTCAGCATCCCTGATTTGGCTGGGTGGATTTGCCGTACTGGGCGTGCCGGGCGAACCGACCACCATGTCAGGGCGGCGTATGCGCAGCGTAGTCAGTGACGTCATGCAACGCCACGGGCTCGAACCCCGCGTCGTAGTCTCTGGCCTCACCAACGAGTATATACATTACATTGCCACGTTCGAAGAATATCAGGTAAATATCTAAAGCTAGCGAATATTAGGTCGATCTTCCGTCATCGTTCACTGGTGAGGCATCTACAGTTTGTTATTCTTGGTCGCACAGTGCCGAAGATTGACTACGTTGACTGTCACGATATTCCTTAGGGAAAATAACCCTTATTTTAGTTTAATATATGAAGCAAATGCCGTATGGTTTATAGAATACGCTACCACTTCCTTTCTTGCGGGTGTCGTAAGCGACGACTAATGGAACTTAATGGTTGAGATATGGGCAGTTGATGGGCGTCCCTCTGAAAATATCAACAAAGGCTAACTGCAGTTACTAACCCGTCAGCCAATGTTTTTTTTATACCACTGAGGTGGCAAACAAGCATACGATCCACCTGATGATAAGCGGTTACCGTAGCCTATGAACGCCTGCAATAGCAGGGGTATTACGCGCGCGTTGCCGACCCTGAATAAATATCTTTACCCCCCTTTTAAAGAATCTATTTATCTATATATCTATCTATCCTATTTAAGAGCTGCGCTCTTGTCGGTGGAGCTCTTACCACTCACTACGATTTTCAGCGAGTCTCTTCACCTCTTGATACGACACGACACCAACTCCTTCCTTGATCTGCCTGATGTAACTATGTCTCGGTCTCCCTCTCCCCCTCCTTCCTTCTATCTTACCTTCTATTATAATGTTCATAAGTTCGTCGTGTCGTATCAAGTGTTCCAATATTTTTTCTCTTCTGTCCTCAATCGTTCTAATAATTTGTCTTTTTTCCTTAACCCTAAGCAGGCCTCCTCATTTCATATCTATATATATAATGGCTAAAATACCATTAATACCAAAATAAATTCCAATAATTTTTGTTCCAGGTGCAACGATACGAGGCAGCATCGACGATCTACGGACCTCACACTCTTGAAATATTTTTGAATAAGTTTGCCGAATACGCATCAGTTGCTATAGAGGTATAGACATAGTAAATCGGGAGGGAGGGGGGGAAGGGATTGTTAGTAATGAGGTCTAATAGCTCCATTGCTTTCGGGGATGGGGGGGGGGGAAAGGGATTGTTAGTAATGGAGACTGAGAATCCCATTGCTAGCAATATACCCAATCAGGTCGACCTCCTCGCGGTTCTCCCTGGAAACTATCATGGTTAATTCCTGATGAATTCATCATGATGGGCTAACTGACCTGTTTTCATTCTCATCTGTCACCCTTCACTGGTGCTCCGCTAGCGTATCTCGTTAGCGCAGGTGGGGTTACCATACCATTTTCACCCAACAAAAAAAAAAAGACCTATATAACCTATATTTTTAGCAATGGGACTCCTAGTCCAGACTACTTCTCTCCCCCCTCCCTCCGTAACGCAGGGTATCCCAGCTTGAGGACCGGCAATTTGGTGCGATGGTGTGACATTTATTATTATATGTTTTTTTTCTCTATCATAGTATAGTATAGTATACTATATTATCTGTGGCAGGGTGGAGAGTTACCAGCCGGTCCGGAGCCACCCAACTATATAAACAACACAGTATCCCTGATCCTGCCCGTGGTATTCGATAGTGTCCCGCTCGCCCGGGGCTTTGGGGATGTAGTGGAACAGCCAGTGCCCTGGGCACGCCGTGGGGAAACCATCAGTGCTAGCTTTGTAAGTTCTAAGATGTCTCCTCTCAGGAATAAGCTCTTTGTCTAGGTTTTTACTAAGAGATTATAGCGTAAGGATGTCTCCTCTCAGGAGTGGTCAGGTTATGGAGTAAGCTCTTTGACGAGGTTTCACCAAGAGACTATAGCGTTGGGTTCTTCAAAAAAGGAGAAAAGATGTCTCTTAAAATATTTTTCATAAATAAAAACTAGACTTGAATAACGATAAAAAAAATTGAACTCCAGTAAAACGCAAACAGTCTCGTAGTTGATGCTGAAATTTCTAGATTTTGTAATGCATAGGCCCACCTGATAGTGTGTCTGAGTGGTAACTATCGCCTATAAACATGAGCAGTACCATGAACATAACAGAGTATATTGTTTCGCCCATGATACCGCCCATGCATTACCATTATTGAAGACTTAGGTGTTATTCCTCTGTACCTTGTAAATTCATTGCCATATTCCACCCTTCAAACCGAAACACAGCCATGCAAACACAACTGCTTCACGGTAGAAATACGAATGGGACAGAGGTGTCCAAGCAAGCGACTTTTGTACAGTCTCCCTCTGGTAAGCTGGTTTTGTAATCATATTTCTTCGGAGAATATTGGTTTTTTTCAAAAGATTTATTTTTTTGTAGAACAAAATCTTATATTATATTCTTTTCCTCTTTTCCACGACGCCGCAGTAAGGAGCATATTTTATTTTTTATTTTTTTTTATAACTACATATTTTACTTTTTTTTTATAATGCAGGTAGGAGCGAATCCACGTAACGACTTGAGGCAAGAGTCCAGCCATGCGGTTATAGAACGACTGGTGGAAAACAATGAATGGACTGTGGTAGCCACCGACGCAGACTGGGAAACTAAGTGTGTAATTTTTATACTATTATATTCTACTATTGAAAGAAAGAAAGAGAGAGAGAGAGAGAGAGAGATTGAGAGAGAAAGAAAGAAAAAAATATAATTTAATCGAAGAAGATTGAACCTTAGATTTCACAGACTAATTTAGTTTTGTTTGAGAATAAAATGGCTCTTAGAGGATTTATAAATTTTTCAAGTCATGCACACATACATACGAATCAGTCACGCCTGCCTCCCGTTGGGGTAGGCAAAAATAATAGAATGCCAAATACTCCGTTTTAAATAGACTTCTTTCACTTCATCCACATTCATCTTTTTGTCCCATTTGTGTTTCTACTGTGAAGCAGTTGTGTTTGCATGGCTGTGTTTCGATTTGAAGGGTGGGATATGGCAGCGAATTTATAGGGTACAGAATAACACCTGAGTCCTCAGGAATGCCAACGCAGGGGAGGTATCATGGTCGAAACAGTATACTCTGTTATGTCCATGGTACTGCTCATGTCTATAGGCGACGGTTACCACTTTCCATCAAGTGGACCGTCAGTTTGTTTGCCATTTTAAGTTGCATAAAAAAAAGTCATAAATCATATGTGTGTATGACAGATTCCAGTGGACGCGCACGTCCACAGTGTTGGGCACGAGCACGGTAACTTTCGAGTGGACGATACCACGCGACACGCAGTTGGGCACGCACCGCGTAGTGTACTACGGCACGGCACGCCTCCCCCTCGGAGTGTACCGTCAATTTACTGGCACGAGCAATACGTTCGACGTCGTTATTTAATTTATAGTCATTATCATCGTCATAAAATATATATATATATATATATATATATATAGCTGCTGAATAGGAGCTTGTTGTTCGTGGGCCAGCAGGACGTCCGAGACTTCACTTTGGCTAGATCGTCAAGAGGGACGGTTGTCGGTCCTGTTATTTTTGAATTAGTTTTTTTTTATTGGATGAAATGGTATGGTAACCCCATCTGCGCTAATGGGATACGCTGGCGGGGCACCAGTGAAGGGTGATCGATGAGGATGAAAACAGGCCAGTTAGCCCATCATGATGAATTCATCAGAAATTAATCATGATAGTTTTCTGGGGGAACCGCGTGTGTAGGTCGACCTGGTTGGGTATATTGCTAGCAATGGGATTCTTAGTCTCCATTACTAACAATCCCTTTTCCCCCTTTTGAATTCGTTTGTTCATTAACAGTTTGTTATATACAATTAAAGTTGATTTGGTCAATACGCAGACTTTTAGTTCATTTTATATTTCATATTTATTAGAATATATATATATATATATATATATATATATATATATATATATATATATATATATATATATATATATATATATGTATATTATATTAGTATAACCATATATATTATAAGTAGTATTTATGTGTTATATGTGTATTTCTTATGTATAATTATTTCAGTATGTTACTATAATTATGTCACATATTTTTCACCACATCTGCCCTTCATACGCTTTCTGTTTTTACCTAACGGTTAGCTGGTAGAGAATGCCATATGGCATTAAGCTCGCCATTTGTACAGTTTTATTGTACAATAAAGAATAAATAAATAAATAAATAAAAGTCGTTAACTGTTCTCTGAACATAGTCTTCTCCTATAAGGAGGGTATTGCCAATAGTTGTCACGCTTGGTGGGCAGATCGGCAACCGCAGTTGGGCTTTGGTGATGATTTAAGATGGATGCTGCTGCCCATCCCTCGACTTTGGATTTAATGTACAGTTGAATAGGTTATTTATTAAAATGTATTTTTAAGTAGATAATTTGTTTTTTCTTTTATTGTTGAACTTAACTAGTTTTTATCCGCGACTTCGTTTGTGCGACTGGGATATGTTTTTTGACCAAGACAAGCCTATGTATTTCTCCATTCCACATAGTATATGTAAATTAAATTTCATAGTGATTAGTTTAAGTTGTCGAAGCGTTAAGTAATAACAAACAAACTCACTTTTATTATACATATTAATAAGGATTACACGTTGTGAATAAAAATCCTTTAAACTTTAATCCTCAGGTACGGCAACGTATGAAAGGTTTTTTTAATGGATGATAATGGAATGGTAACTCTGTCTACGCTAATAGTATACACTGGCGGAGCACCAGTGAGGAATGATAGGTGAGAATGAAGCAGGCTAGTTAGCCCACTTCACCAGAGGGAGACTTTGTACAAAAGTCGATTGCTTGGGTACCTCTGTCCCATTCGTGTTTCAACCGTGAAGCAGATGTGTTTACATGGCTGTGTTTCGGTTTGAAGCGTGGGATATGGCGTGAATTTACTGGATACAGAGGAATAACACCTGAGTCCTCAGGAATGGCAACGCATGGGGGGTATCATGGGCGAAACAGTATACTCTGTTATGTGCATGGTACTGCCCATGTCTATAGGCGACGGTTACCACTTTCCATCAGGTGGGCCTTGAGCTTGTTTGCAATTCTAAGTTGCATAAAAAAATAGTACTTGTGAAGAGTAATAACTGGTAGGCGAGGTTCAAGTCAAGGCAGCTGGGTCATCGTGATAAAATCATAGAATTAAAGGAAAAACGAGACTTCGCTATGTTTAATTCCAACTTTATACAAATAATTAAATAGGTTTTTAGAGACCTCAACAATATTTTCTCCTTATACTGTGGTATAAAGTAACGAAGTTCCCGTAGGGGGGAGGGAGGGATTGTTAATAATGAAGTCGAAGAGCCCCATTTCTATTAATAGACCGGAAAGTTGAGGACTGTTCATGTCTCTTCTGCTAAATCCAACTGTGTCAGTTTGAATTAATTACTATTGCCAGGCCCAGACTTACTTCAATCTTTAGTAGGTATTTTCATCAGGTTTTAATCCAACAAGATTGGGGGGAAAGGGATTGTTAGTAATGGAGACTTAGAATCCTATTGCCAGCAATATTAGGTATATTGCTAGCAATAGGACCAGGTCGACCTCCTCGCAGTTTTCCCTGGAAACTATTATGGTTAATTCCTGATGAATTCATCATAATGGGGTAACTGGCCTGTTTTTATTCTCATCTATCACCCTTCACTGGTACTCCGCCAGTGTATCCCGTTAGCGCAGGTGGGGTTACCAGACCATTTTCACCCATCAAAAAAAATCCAACAAGATTCAATCACGATATTATCCAGTGGAAACCGCTTGGAGGTCGACCTGATAGAATATATTGCTACCAATGGAGCTGTTAGACCCTATTACTAACTATCCCATTCCCCCTGGTTGTGTGAATTATTCATTTGTTTACGTTTACATTAAATTCAGTTGAGACGTACTACAGACACTTGAGTTGCAAGTTTATAATGTTGGTACCACGGATGCAATGCATGTAACATGCATGCCCTTCTAAATATAGAACTGCTATCGTGTAGCTATACAACGTTATAGAACTTATAGGTTACATCCTGCGGTAGTAATCAATCAAGATTAAATCTTATATTGTGAACGTTAGAAGTCAATTTGTGATAGAAGTGTCTAGACGTCAAGTTGGTACAATGAAGTGTTGTTTATATGTAGGTACCTAATAAAGATCTGACTTATTTTAAGTTATTTATATATGAAGTGATAGATTTTGTGTATACAGTTTATTCGTAATTTAAAAAGGTAAGTGCAGACGTCAATTTAAGGTTAAATTTACATTTTAACATACAAGTCTATTGTTAAGGGCAAATATATTTAAGTAACGCAACCTCAAAATATTCAAATTGTCTATTATGGAAAAAATGCAAACTTAGATTGAAATGCAGATTTTTATTTAAAATAAATAAAAATACATTCATGGCATATAAAAACAATTGAGGGTTAAATTTACATTTTAACATACAAGTCTACATGCATATATCTATATGCATAAATGAGTATACACAGAAATAAGTATATACATATACACTTTGATACATAAATGAGTATATATATATATATATATATATATACTTTGTACAAAAGTCGATTGCTTGGGTACCTCTGTCCCATTCGTGTTTCTACCGTGAAGCAGTTGTGTTTGCATGGCTGTGTTTCGGTTTGAACGGTGGGATATGGCGTGAATTTACTGGGTACAGAGTAAAAACATCTGAGCCCTCAGGAATAGCAACGCATGGGGGGTATCATGGGCGAGACAGTATACTCTGTTATATCCATGGTATTGTTCATGTCTATAGGCGACGGTTACCACTTTCCATCAGGTGGACCGTCAGCTTGTTTGCCATTCTAAGTTGTATATAAAAAAATATGCATGTATTGTACATAAAAACCTTCCGCTTGAATCACTCTGTCTATTAAAAAAAAACGCATCAAAATCCGTTGCGTAGTTTTAAAGATCTAAACATACATAGGGACGGACAGACGGGAAGTGATTTTGTTTTATACTATGTAGTGATATTAGGTTCAAAAAAACATTGTGTGTAGTATAAGCCAAATAGTACAGTACAAAGACAATTATATGAGTATTCTGCGATATCGGAAACTCACAGAGATAACTATAATCGCAGTATCTGAATATTTGGGTAAAAACTGTATAAACAAGAGTAGCTACACATCCACATCTTGAGCTTTGTCTCATTAAATATAAGTATATCACACACGCATAAAGTTTCTTAGCTGTGTGGTCCCGGCATAGAATGGACCACCCCTTTCTTTCTCTTGGGTGTTGTAAAAGGCGATTCAGGGAGCTTATGGTTGAGGGATGGGCAGCAGCATCCCTCTTAAAACATTACTAAAAGCCAAACTGCGGTTGCCAACCCGCCTGCCAAGTGTGGCAACTACAGGCAAAACCTCCCTTATAGGGGACGCTAACTTCAGCAGTGGACAGTAACAGTTGATACAATAAAAAGTCTCTTTTATATATTTTTTTTGGAATAGAATAGAAAATATTTATTGCCAGAAAAAATAACTAGTTATAACAGAAAATACAGAAATATTATATATATAAGAAGTTATAATATATATATATATATATATATATATATATATATATATATATATATATATATATATATATATATATATATATATATATATATATAGATATTAGGAAAAAGGAACTGGCTCAGCTGATGCTGTGAGTGTCCCAGTGCAATGTGTACAGCTGCACAGCGCTGGTTGTGGCTGTCATACTGGCGAAAACCAGACCGTACCTATGCTTGTTGCTTATTTATGTGGGTTACATGCTTGTTTCCCATATTCATAGTAATAAACAGTGTTGCCAGACTATGTATTTTTTTGCAATTTTGGGTAAAAAAAAAATCGGTTCGCGAAATTTTGGAGATACAAATTTCTTGGTGAAATTTTTTAAGAAAAGCAGAATGGTCGTGGAGAGATGTAGGTAATGTTTTTGGACAGTTTTAGTACTTGTAAACTGAATTAAGTTATATGAGACAGTAAAATATGAATGTAGGTAGCAAAATAGAGAATGGGATAAGAGAAGGCGAGGATAAATGAGCTAATAAAGAAATTGAAGGAATGACTTTTTTTAATTGCTCAACTTGTGAGACATAGCAGAACGTAGTGAAAAACAATACGTATTTGTGATTGGGTAAAAGTCTCGGATTCAAATGGCATTGGAGAAAAAATATTTGACGTTTGGGTAAAAATCAAAATTCGCAACTGGCAACCCCGGTAATAAATACGAATTTGCGAGTGTAAGCATTCTATAACAATGGAAAAAAACATGATAAACATAGATAAACAATGGTACCCATGTTTAATGGTGTACAGATAATTTCGGATGATAAATGTACAAATATGTTATTAACAGCCAGGGTTCATAAACTTTGGCTTTTGATAACAATTATCTATTATGTAAGATAACTAAATAGTGTTGATCGCACGACCGTTTCACCATTTATAGCTATATTAACCTTAACGTGCAAAAAAATCTAATAACTCTATATTTTTTTTATGCAATTTAGAATGGTAAACAAGCTAACGGCCCACCTGATGGAAAGTGGTAACCGTCGACTATAGACATGAGCCGTACCATGAACATAACAGATAATACTGTTTCACCCATGATATCTCCGATACGTTGCCATTCCTGAGGACTCAGGTGTTATCTTTCTGTATCTTGTAAATTTGTTGTCATATCTCACCCTTCAAACTGAAACACAGCTATGCAAACACAACTGCTTCACGGTAGAAACGTGAATGGGACAGAGGTGCCCTAGTAAACGGTTTTTGTACAAAGTCTCCCTCTGGTAAATTATGGTATTTATAATTAAAGTTAACAAAATGTCAAGTTTCTGTTAAGTTCGGCGCGTATTTTTTTATTATTACAATGATCTGTGTGCTATACTATGTTACGCAATATCTTATCCAATAATTTTATTGTAAACATTCAGATACCTAGTGGTATAGTATTTTTTTTGTGTGGTGATAGATGAGAATGAAAACGGGCCAGTTAGCCCATCATGATGAATTCATCAGGAATTAACCATCATAGTTTCCAGGGGGAACCGCGAGGAGGTCGACCTATATTGCTAGCAATAGGATTCTCAGTCTCCATTACTAACAATCCCTTTCCCCCCAGTGGTATAGTAATATACCGTATCAAGTCGACCTCCAAGGAATCTTTCATGGAAACCTTTGTGCAGCATTTCAAATTTATTCATCACGATGGGCTAACTGATTTGTCTTTTCATTCTCACCTATCATCCCTCACTGCTACTCTAACAGCGTATACCAGGGGGAAAGGGATAATGTTAGTAATGGAGACTGAGAATCCCATTGCTAGCAATATACCCAACCAGGCGGACCTCCTCGCGGTTCCCCCTGGAAACTATCATGGTTAATTCCTGATGAATTCGTCATGATGGGCTAACTGGCCTGTTTTCATTCTCATCTATCACCCTTCACTGGTGCTCCGCCAGCGTATCCCGTTAGCGCAGGCGGGGTTACCAATCCATTTTCGCCCATCAAAAAAAAAAACAGCGTATACCGTTAGCGCAGGCAAAAAAAATACAGATACCTACATTATTCTTTTAATTAATTTTACTCTCGCGTTGATCACTTTATTTAAATAGTTTCATCGGTTTTATTAATCTTATTTATATAAAAATAAAAAAAAAAAAAAAACAAATGATAAACTTACAGACCGTGGTGTTCTTATATATTTATTACGTTAGATTTAGATAACGTTCTCGTGTTGTATTCTACGATGTATTGTTTTTATTCATCTGTCAGTTAGTGGCCAGTATCTTAATTGTGCCGTGTGAGAACAACGTTTTTAATATTGCAATCTTCAATAATAGTGAGGTATGTGGTTATTTAAATACCTAACTACCATTTTTGTATTGTATTGTAAAATATTTATTGTACATAATTTATATTGGACACATTAAAAGATTTATTATACAATGACAGATTTATCCCATAAAGACATCTCTTACATTCAACCTTTGAGGAGTTGAAAGAAAACTGTCGAATGTTCAAGGGTAGAAACCGTACAGCTAAAGATATTTCAATAATATCTAGTTAAAATTGTAATTTAGTATGTACTTAAATTTTTAAATTTCGAATGTATTCCATATTCGAAATTTGACTGTATTTTTTTTAATTGACTACTTAAAGAAGGATATACTAAATTCGTTTGTATTTTTTTAATGTTTGTTACCTCAAAACTCCGTCTGTTATAAACCGATTTGGAAAATTCTTTTTTTATTTAAAAGGATATACTTACAGATTGGTCTAATGGAAATTTTATTAAAATCGGTTCATTAGATTAGTTTTTAAATTAAAATAATTGGTTTTGCCACAATTTAAGACGATTTTTTTAGACCACAATTTGATGGGTACAGAGGAATAACATCTGAGTCCCCGGGAATGGCAACGCATGGGGGGTATCATGGGCGAAACAGTATACTCTGTTATATTCATGGTACTGCTCATGTCTATAGGCGACGGTGACCACTTTCCATCAGGTGGGCCGTCAGCTTGTTTGCCATTCTAAGTTGTATAAAAAAAAAATATTAGACACATTTCTTGGGCTAGCTACATATAGCTACTGCTAGCCAGATATAAATTTTGACACTTATAATAAATAACATTAACTTAACCTACTTTTTTTGTATGTTAGCCAGCATGTGAATCATTATTGTTATCTAATGTGCCATTACTTTTGTTTTCAGCTAAAAAAAGAAAAAAAAAAATAAGAAATGTCTCCATATAAACCGGTAACAAAGAAATTAATCAACACAGTAGAGGGATGCGTCGATGACAACCTTCGCGGTATTGTCACCACATTCCCACAGTTGCGTTTACACCCAAAGCACCGCGTGGTCACCATCAGAACTGAGGTGAGTGGTTGTAAACAATGAAATTAGAGTTAAAAAATGAGATTTGAAAAATTTTCAAATGCGTAACTCTACGTATTCGCAATATACGTTCACGCTCATACCTTAGAGTCCAGATCGGTGTTTCCCAACGTGGGTCCAACGCTCCACAGGGGCACAATTTCATAGTAAAGAGGGGCAATTAAAAAATGGACTCGAAGCGATTTTCACCCTCTTGCTCCGGGCCATTAAATGCAATGCTACAAGTAGATGGTTTAAACCTTATTAATCAGTCCATTGTTAGCAATATACCATATATTGCTAGCAATGGGCGATTACTTAATATAAATAAACACACAAACACCACTGCAATTGGTGCAATCTAGACAAAATTTTATTGATATTCTATCATTGCAGGCTGATACAGGGAGAGTGGCTGTCATCAGTGGAGGTGGTTCTGGGCACGAGCCGTTTGCAGCAGGTAATTGTAAACCTGTATTTTTTTTTGATGGGTGAAAGTGGTATGGTAACCCCGCCAGCGCTAACGGGATACGCTGGCGGAGCACCAGTGAAGGGTGATCGATGAGAATGAAAACAGCCCAGTTAGCCCGTCATGATGAATTCATCAGAGATTAACCATAATAGTTTCTAAGGAGAACCGCGAGGAGGTTGATCTGGTTGGGTATATCGCTAGCAATGGGATTCTCAGTCTCCATTACTAACAATCCCTTTCTCCCCTGTAAACCTGTATTACGTTGATAAGGCATCGGTAGCAAAGAGTTTTGTTTCAATAACGTAATGATAACACCATAAAAACTCGGTATCGGGTTGACTTTTGGCTTTTGTGTAACAGACAAAGAAGTAAAACAGTATTTAAGAAAGTGTTTTTGTTTGAATAAATTGTATCTTCTGTATTGTATAGGTACTTCTAAAGAGACAGAAGGATGATTAGGGAAGAGAGGGACAAGGGAGGGAAGAGTTTAAATTAGAGATACCATCTATTTTTCTTTGCTCCTCTACCCAAAGTTTGTCTGGAACAGATTGCTTTAGCGATAAGACCTCCTTTCCTACTTTATAAGTTTTTTTTATTTTTCTTTACTTTGTATTATTTTTTGAGTGGTGTAATTAAGGATAAATAAATAGATTAATAGCGTGAAATCACGTCTGAAGAATTATTATCGCTCACAATGCTGATGTACGTACTTATTATAATATATTTGTGTATTATATATAATATATATCTATCTATTTATATGTATTTACTTATATATATATATATATATATATATATATATATATATATATATATATATATATATATATATATATATATATATACGGTCTCCGAAAGATCGTATAAAAGTGTTCTGGAATGCGGTGGGGAGGCCAGGTAAGCTTCCTTATGTCCCTAACAATGCTTCATGGTCTGACCGCCGTACTTATAATATATTTGTCGAATTATATATATTATATATCTATCTATGTTCGGGGGATATGTATTTACTTCTATATATATATATATATATATATATATATATATATATATATATATATATATATATTTGGCACAAGTGCATTATGTCACAGTCCTGAATAATTGTAAAATAAAATTTTTAAAAAACTTTTATACGTATTTCCGGACACACATGTATGACTGTAACTAACTACTAATGAACTGTCAGTTTTCTCATATTGGGTTTGCTGGAAGAAATCTCTATTCGAGATGAGCTCGCCTTTGTGCACTATTATGTTTGTTTTTACATTTCAATAATCTTTTGTGTACAATAAAGAATATAGAATAAAATCCAGTATAACAAAGTGAGATTCAAGAGCTGGCGTGCATACTTGAGATGTGTGAAATAAAAATGGATAAAGCAAGAGATGTAGATGGATAATGTAAGAGGTTTTTTTAAGCAACCTAGAATGGCAAATAAGCTGACGGCCCACTTGACAGCAAGTGGCAACCGTCTACTAAGGGTGGGTAATATCTAGAAATATATATATTATAGCTGTGTTTCGGTTTGAAGGGTGGGATATGGCGTGAATTTACTGGGTACATAGGAATAACATCTGAGTCCTCAAGAATGGCAACACATGGGGGATATCATGGACGGAACAGTATACTCTGTTATGTCCATGGTACTGCTCATGTCTGTAGGCGACGGTCACCACTTTCCATCAGGTGGGCCGTCAGCTTGTTTGCCATTCTAAGTTGTATAAAAAAAAAAAGTTACAATATTTAAATACGACGACAGCAAATAAAATAAATAAATAAAAATATAATGGAATATGTTCCATAAATACATGATTCTATCAAAAGTGGATTTGACTGATACAATCAGTCAAAACCACTTTTGACGTCACGTTGATCACTTACTCAATTTAACTGTTATTTTAGTTAAAAGTGTTAAAGCATACGGTCAAAAGTACTTTTGACTGATTTTGCTAGTTTATAGTACTTTTAAGAGACTTCAACATATATACTCTTACGCCCACGGTAATTTATCATAAACGTTCTGTCTATAACATGGAAATCTAAAATTATTGTGCTTCATTCAGGTTTTGTTGGGGCCGGCATGTTGGACGGGGCCGTGGCCGGCGGTATATTCGCATCGCCGCCCACTGGGAATGTTCTGTACGCTATATCACATCTCTACAAGTTTAATTCAGGTAGTATAGTACTATAAAAGAAAAACAGCATCAAAAAGTGTTCAGTGACACAATATTATATTGTTTCAAAGGAATTAATTCAGTTTTGATATGTCACACAAAGATTTAATTTATCAATCAATCATCTTTATTCATATACATCTGTTACAGATTCTTATGATACGTCACTTTATATTTATAATAATTATTATAAAAAATAATATTAATTTAAACAAATTACAATAATTAAATTTACAATACAATTCACATTAATACATAATTCAAATCCATGCAGTTTTGTCATTTGGATAGTCATTTAATTTATAATATGCTTTTGTACAGAGAGTCCTTTTTATATATAAATAATAAGACAAAATGGGGGGGGGGGGTTGTCTTTTATTTAGGGGGAGGCTTATGTTCAGCAGTGGACGGTCAAGGGCTGATATGATGTCATACAAAGACATTTTCTAAATAAAAATTTGTAATATCGACTTGTTAACATTCTGATGTTTTTTTTTGATGGGTGAAAATGATATGGTAACCCCGCCCGCGCTAACGGGATACGCTGACGGAGCACCAGTGAAGGGTGATAGATGAGAATGGAAACAGAAGAAATAAAAAAATACAAGATTTTTACGTTATTCGATATCTACACTAACTGAGAGTCGATTTTGAGTTTGGTTTTTGGGATTTTTAGGTATCAATATTTAGGTAGTTATATTATTTTTAAAACTTATGTTCGTTTTTTATTCGATGTCTATATACATATATAACGGGAAATTAATGAAGTCATTGTATTTTAGCCGGAAACAATTGTCGGAACGGAAAATTAATGAAGTCATTGTATTTTAGCCGGAAACAATTGTCGGAACGGGAAATTAATGAAGTCATTGTATTTTAGCCGGAAACAATTGTCGGAACGGGAAATTAATGAAGTCATTGTATTTTAGCCGGAAACAATTGTCGGAACGGGAAATTAATGAAGTCATTGTATTTTAGCCGGAAACAATTGTCGGAACGGGAAATTAATGAAGTCATTGTATTTTTTTTCGGAAACAATCGTCGGAAACGACAAATAGGTACACAAAGCTTCATTAATTTCCCGTTATATATGTATATAGACCTCGATGTTTGGGTATTTGATTTTATGTTTTTTATTTTTAAAGGCGGTGTAATCGTAATATTGGGGAACTACACAGGCGATAGATTGAACTTCGGCAAAGCAGTTGAGAAAGCAAGAATTAATGGCATCAAGGTATCCTATCAGCTAAATTTGTATAATTAATTAATTACTTTTTGAAAAAAAAAAGCAACAGCTGAGTTTTTTGTCCGTTCTTCTTTGCTGCAATTGTGTTATGAATGGGCAGTAATGAAAATATGACTGTAAAAAAATTTTTTATATGTATGTTTAATTGAATATTTTTTTTGTCTTACTAATATATTTACATTGTTTTTACTATAGTAAAAATTATGAGGACATTTTAGTAGCTATATTCTTGAAAGTGCATGAAGTGAGTACCCATTAGTCATAGACAAAGTGAAAATCCAATTCACTTCAGTATAGATAATTAGTTAACGACGAATAAACGAGACAAAACATACACCTGTACTGCTCAGTTTGCTCCCACTTATCAGGCTATTTCTCTGCTCAATTCTCTGATTGCTCAGCAGCCAGACATTGATATATTTAATGACAAAATAGATATATTTTTAAAATGTTGTACAAAATTTGTAAGTTTGTAAAATAAACCTATGGCTCACTACACGTTTTGGGAGACTGTAAGTGTGGTGAGTAATTTATAAATAAATAAATAAATACATCTGACAGGTTTCGAACCCATATCTGCTACTTATATTATAGTAAAGTTTTTCGGAACACAAGTAATATCAATCAATACATATAATAAAATCGTAACTGGTCGTTGTCTGTACATGGAGGATATATAAAACTAATAATAATATTAATAAGGGGACTTTATAAATGCAATAGAACCAAAAACAATAATTTTTAGAATTTCCGTCTGTTTGTCTGTAGCTTTGTGCACGCTAATCTCAGAAACGGCTTAACCGATTTGAACGCGGTTTAAACTAATGCGTTGCGGTTTGCTCCACTTAAAATTTTGTGCTTGTTTTATTTTAATCGCTTCATAAATAATAAAAGTTATATCAATTTAAAGAATCACATATGAAATGTTATTATTGCAATATTATATAAATGTATTATATTATATATAATAAATGTTATTAGAACAATATATTATTTTTGTGTTTATTCTATGTCAGATTTTATATAAAACATGTCTTATATCTTTTGATTAAACTTATTATTTTATATCACAAATACATATATGTTTTATTACTGCATCCTGCTATTTACAACAGGGTTCCCGTTTTGAAATCTACCGGGACGAGGAAGTTGATCTGCCAGGGTATACTTCTAGCAATGGGACTGGTAGTTGGCATTACTAACAATTCCTACCCCCTGATACAGATGTTAGGTATCTAATTTTTTTTCTTTCTATCAGGTTGAAGCAGTAATTATAGGCGAAGATGTTGCATCTAGTCACAATAAGACTGGAGGAAGAGGCATCTGTGCTGAAGTTTATTTATATAAGGTATCAAATTTTAATTAAGTTTTTTGACAGGTGGTAGTAAACAGAGGGAATTGAGATCAAGTATAAAATTTGAACGAAAAGTAATGTTAGCCTTTTATGTAAATAACTACAAGGTCTCTTCAGTCATTTAAGAGTCTTGAAGTAAAGCATCCAAATAACAGCCTTTTATATATTTAATTTTTTTTTATTGGACGATAATGAAATGTTTGTTTGTCTGTAACACTTTATTGCACAGTAAAGTCTTGAATTATAGGATACAGATTTCTTAAGAAAATAATGGTTGCAATGGCCTATAACGGCCTAAATTTAAACCACCACCAGGTAAAGTATCGTGGCCACCTTTATAAAAAGTAACCAAGACGACTGCGGTATATAGGTATTTCCTAATACATAGATACACATCGCCGTATTGTCCCAGCATAGAATAGGTCACTCCTTTTTTCCCTTGGGTGTCATAAGAGGCGATTAAAGAAGGCCGAGGGACGAGCAGCAGCGTTTCTCTTAAAACATCTGTAAAGCCTAACTGCGGTTGCCAATCTGCCTGCCAAGTGTCACAACTACAGGCAAAACCTTCTAAGGAAAAGCCTTTATTCGGCAGTGGACAGTTAAAGGCTGATATGATGATGTGGGTATTTCACCGTTTTTTATTTTATTTTTTATTTTTAATGAGGCATACATAACAAATTATAACCATGTTAGGTTCATATATAGGTAATTATGGTTTTAATGCTAGGTTAAAATTCAAAAACATGTGTACACAACATGATTAACATTTAGACATAACATTTCAATTTCGACAGGTGGAAAATATAATTATTAGTAAACATTATATACATATAATTTACATAAAAAGAAATTTAAACCATAAAACTATCACCACACAAGAAAAACAGGCCAGCCATCCTAAACATGAACTGCATCACTAAATACTAGTAAACGTACAAGTTCATGCCGAACGGCTCACGCACCCCCTGAATGATGACAGCTTCTTGTCGAATATATCAATGATTTTGTGGTTGAGCATTTTTTTTTTACAACACAGGGGGCAAACGAGCAAGCGGCTCACCTGATGGTAAGTGACTACCGCCGCCCATGGTCACCCACAACACCTACGGCATTGCAGGTGTGCTGCCGGCCTTTTAAAAAGGAATATGCTCTTTTCTTGAAGGTTATGTTGTCGTATCGGTTCAGAAATACTGCTGCTGGAAGTTGAGCATAAGATCATTATATTGTCGGCACATTCTAACAAGTGGATTATAATAAGAAGCATTGGTTCTGTGAACTTGAAGAGCAAACAATTTATGACTAAAATGATGATAACAGCTCGTTATTAATCCGTAGATTTGTGGTGCAATGTCAGCGAGGGGCTACGACTTGTCGAGTATCCACAAGACGTCGATAGATGTGAGCAAGTGTTTTGCCACGCTCGGCGTTTGTTTGAGCGCCTGCTCCTTGCCTGGTAAGTATTCAACAGTAAAGCTTTGGGGGGAAAGGGATTGTTAGTAATGGAGACTGAGAATCCCATTGCTAGCAATATACCCAACCAGGTCGACCTCATCGCGGTTCTCCCTGGAAACTATCATGGTTAATTCCTGGTGAATTGATCATGATAGGCTAACTGACCTGTTTTCATTCTCATCTATCACCTTTCACTGGTGCTCCGTCAGTGAATCCCGTTAGCGCAAGCGGGGTTACTATACTATTTTCACTCATAAAAAAAAAAATCAGTAAAGCTTTACTGACGAAAAAAAATCTACTTTTTTATACTACTATGGTAGTAAACAAGCATACGGCTCATCTGATGTTTACCGTAGATTATGGACTCCTGTAATACCAAGGAGTTCACGCACGCATTGCCGACCCTTAAGAAACCTTATTACGTACTCTTTTAAAGAACCCCATACTGTAGTCTCCAGGAAAAGCTTCGACCATTGAAATTCAGGAAGATCATTGAAAAACCACAACCTGAGTGTTCGCAGGAGGAAGCTTCTCTGAAACCATACGTGAGGTGTGAGGATGGATTCCCTGCCGATGACGAGTGGTACGGTGAGACGTGGCTGTAGGCATCTTATTGCCGATGACGAGTGATGGAAAGTACGGTGAGACGTACCATGGACATGTAGGCATCTTATTGAAAAGTTCTTTAGAACACATAATCCGTTAAACATATATTTCAGCAAAGCATACAAGTCCTTATGAAAATTTGCGAATGTTCAAAGTTTTTTTTACAATAGTTAGAATGGCAAACCAGCCGAAGGATTACTTGGTGAAAAGCGGTAATCGTCGTGTGTAAATGAGTTTTCTGTCAAGGTTTTTTTTATGACCGCAGAATGGGGTTCTTCAGAAAGGGCGTAATAAGGTTTCTTAGGGGGAAAGGGATTGTTGGCGTAAAATGGAGTTTGACAGCCCCATTGCCAGCAATATGCTATATTAGGTCGACTTCCACGTGTATACCCCTGGAAAGCATCGTGAACAATTCTTGTTGAATTCGTCACAATGGGCTAACTGACCTGCTTTATCCTCATCTATCATCCTTCACTGGTGTCCCGCCGGTGTATACCGATAGCGCGGGTAGGGTTACCATTCCATTATCACCCATTAAAAAAAAGGTTTCTTAAGAGTCCGTAATGCATGCATGCATATAAATATTTTTTTTTTTTAAGAAAACTTGATTAGAAGCATTTTTGATTGATCATTTATTATGAACCGTTCAGTTCGGAACGCAACTTCAGCTGAGAAGAACGGTCAAGAAATCCAATTTGATGGGCATTATACAATATTTTTTTAAATTAAAACTTTTTTATTCTGTAGGGCAGCCACCCTTGTTCGAAATCGCACAAGACGAGATGGAACTGGGCGCTGGAGTGCACGGGGAAGCTGGCATCGCCAAGATGAAGATGGGAACTTCTAAAGAAGTTGTCGGGATGCTGTTGGAGAAGGTAGCATTAGTTTTATTCTTTTTATATTACTCACAGTTTGGGCAGCGAACGCTAAGCTTCGAGCCGTGATCAATTAATTTGCCTGAAGACGCCTCATTTAGAGGTGAAATACGTATCGCAAAACGCGCGTGGACCGAATGACAATCGGAGATTGATGGCTAATATGAGAGGTTGTAGAACTTCTACTACCAATAATAGTAGTCAATCTTTAAGTGTTGGCAGTCACACGCTTTCTAATGGTAGAGGAATTAAACAAAATAATTTTAAACAAATAACCAGTGATATGGACTTCCGCAAAATAACACCAAATTCAGTAAAATAGTTACATTTGTTTTTCATTCATATTAATTTTTAACTGTTAACTGTTAAACATAAGTCTCCCCTTGGGGGGTTTTACCAGTAGTTGCCACGCTTGGCAGACGGATTGGCAATCGCAGTTAGGCTTTGGAGATGTTTTAAGAGGGATGCTGCTGCCCATCCCTCGCCCTCCCTTTATCGCCTTTTACGATAAAGACGGATAAGATGGATTCATGATAAACTCAACTAATATATACATATTTTTGTCGAAAAATTTTAGAATAACAATCAAATTACGTGTCTGACTGTTATTCTGGAATTTGTTCATGTCTTTAGGCGACGGTTACCACTTTCCATCCGGTGGGCCGTCAGCTTGTTTGCTGTTACAAGTTACATGAAAATAATTTTACACTGCTGGATTAATGCCTAAATGAGCGTCACTTTACGGCTTTCTTTCAAGTCGGTTATTTTTATTGGTTTTGTTATTTTTTTATTTATTTTATTACATGATAAATGTTGCGATAATGTGACCTGTGTAATATAATAATTTGGCTATATCTGTGGTATATATAATGCATTTATTACCTAATTAAAATATGTTTCTATGCGGTATAATTCGAGTTATCTGCCTTTTAGGTAGGTGTAGAAATGTTAGCTAGTTAAGTTTTTTTTATGCAACTTAGAATGGCAAACAAATTAACGGCCCACCTGATGGAAAGTGGTAACCGTCGCCTATAGACATAAGCAGTACCATGCACATAACAGAGTATACTGTTTCGCCCATAATACCCCCCATGCGTTGCCATTCCTGAGGACTCAGGTGTTATTCCTCTGTACCCTGTAAATTCACTGCCATATTCCTTAGATGCTATTAATGACAGTTCTTCTGTTTGTTTCTTTTTTAGATAATATCTCATTTGAAATTGGTGACTGGTGACAGAGTGACCGTGATGGTGAATAATTTGGGAGGGACCTCCATCTTGGAAATGAACATAATTGGTGCTGATATCAAAGAATATCTAGGTAAGTTAGTATAGTAAGTATCTAGCTCAGGTTATGGGGTGAGCTCCCTGTCGAGGTTTTTCCAAGAGATTACAGCAAGTTCTTCAAAAAAAAGGTAAAGAAGTTTCTTCAGGGCCGGCAACGCGCGCGTAACTCTCCTGGTATTGTAGGCGTTCATAGGCTACTGTAACCGCTTACCATCAGGCGGGCCGTATGTTTGTTTGCTACTTCAGTGGTGTAAAAAAAGTTCTTCATAATGTCGTGGGTACACACGTATGTCCATCCATAAAAAGGTGTTCATCAGCCATATTCCATATCAAATTGTCGTTAACTCGCCTTAGAAAAGTCAGTACATCTTTCATATACGTTTTTATAATAAACTTGCAGATGACATTTTACATTTAAATGAAAGAAAATTTAAGACATATATAAAAAGGACTCTCTGTACAAAAGCATATTATTTATGACTATTTAAATGACAAAACGTTTGGCAGACGAGTTGTAATTATTGTATTTTTTCTTAAATCAATATTATTTTCAGTTAGATTGACTATATATATCTGTAACAGATGTATTGAATAAAATATATTGAATTAATATTAAAAGGCAATATAATAAAGGCCGGCAACGCAAAAGCAACTCCTCTCGTGTTGCAGATGTTCATGGACAACGGTAGATAACTTTCCATCAGGTGGACCGTGTGCTCATTTGCCTTCCTAACAATAAAAAAAAAAATTAAAGTGTATATATTGCTTTGCAGATAGTAAAAAAATAAAGCTAGAACGTCTATATTCCGGCCACATGAAGTCCTCCCTTGAAATGCATGGATTCAATATTTCCGTGCTGCATCTGAACAAGGAACAAGGTGACTTTTGGTTGGGGTTGTTGGATGATCCCACCACCGCTCCAGGATGGCCTGCGGGCGTCCTCTCTGTGGGTGACCACGACAACATTAGAGATGACGAGACTGTACTGCAAAGTTTTACTCGGAAGGTAAATACGTATTCAATCTCATATTGCATTTAATATAAAATTCAGTATAAAGAAATTTTTCCTACCAATTCTTCAACGGATGCCCAGATAGAGTACTATATTTTGAATTGCAGTGTCAGGGTTCGACATGTACCCAAGGTGTTGAACTACTGGCTCTCTCTTACTCTTTGGATATTCCTCATTCATACTCTAGCGAATAGATACTCAGATAGTGGAATTAGGACCTGAGGATTTGCCTTGTCCAAAGAATTCTTTTCCAGAATGAACGTAATAAGGTTTCTGATTACGCTTCTCTTTTAAGAAGTGATCTATGTCCAATATTGGGAATAATATTTGGTATTATGTGAGAATTCTTCAGGGTCATTGTTGATTCGTTATTCTATTTAATTTCAAGCTTAACTGTCGAACCTAATCCATTGAATAGAAATGGCAACAAAGGTGCAGCAACCACTATGATATCTTAACAGTTAAATTTCCTCAGGGATATTATTAATTGATTTGTTACTCAAGATTATTCCTTTTACAGGCTGCAGTTGGACCTTCCCTATCAAAACAGCAGCAGGATATCTTCCGAGGGTGTCTCCAATCAGCTGCCGAGGAACTAATTCAGAGCGAAGCGTTGCTCAACAGGCTGGATTCCGGATGTGGTGACGGAGACTGTGGTATCACCATTAAGAAGTTTGGACTGGGTATGTAGAAGCTGTAATGGCCATGTTGTCCCGGCATAGAATAGACCACCTCTTCTTTTTCCGTGGTTGTTGTAAGAGTCGACTAAGGAAGGGTTAGGGATGGGCAGCAGCGTCCCTCTTAAAACATCTCTAAAGCCTGCCTTTGATTGCCAATCCGCCTGCCAAGTGTGGCAACTACTGGTAAAACCCCCAAGGGGCTGGGTTATGTTCAGCAGTGGACAGTTAAAGACTACTCTGATGATGATGATGATTGTAAGATATAAAATTATCATCATATAAACCTTTGACTCTCCGCTACTGAAAATAGACCTCTCCTATAAGGGAAGAGTTGCCAATATTTGCCATGCTTGTGCCATTCGTGTTTCAACCGTGAAGCAGTTGTGTTTGCATGGTTGTGTTTCGGTTTGAAGGGTGGGATATGGCATGAATTTACTGGGTACAGAGGAGTAACACCTGAGTCCTCAGGAATGACAACGCATGGGGGGTATCATGGGCGAAACAGTATACTCTGTTACGTCCATGGTACTGCTCATGTCTATAGGCGACGGTTACCACTTTTCATCAGGTGGACCGTCAGCTTGTTTGCCATTCTACGTTGTATAAAAAAAAGCGGGTTGGGAACCGCAGTTAGACTTTAGTGATGTTTGAAGAAAGAAGTTGCTAGCATCCCTATTAATTTCCTTTAGTCGTCTTTTAAGACACCCATGGGAACGAAAGGAGTGGCCCACTCATACACACAGTAAATTCACTGCGATATCCCACCCTTTAAATTGGAACACAGCCATGCAAATACAACTGTTTCACGGTTGAAACACGAATGAGACAGAGGTGCCCAAGCAAACGACTTTTGTACAAAGTCTCCCGGTAAAAATATTTATACATGTTATATTTTAAAATAATAAATTGTTGCAATTTAGTGTTTTAAATAATGTACTATATGTATTCCAGCTATCGTAGAATATTTAAAACAAGGCTCCGTGCAGTATCCATCCAACGTACTATGGGAGCTGTCGGAGATCGCGGAGACGGACATGGGTGGAACATCAGGCGGCATCTACAGCTTGGGCTTGTCCGCAGCGTCGCAGTCTTTTGCTGGGTGATTTTTTTTTAATGGTGACAATTAATTGGGTTAACGAAGTTGATGGGTTAAGTTAATAATTAATAAACCTATTTTTTTTTAAATGGATGATAATGGAATGTTAACCACGCCTGTGCTATCGGTATACACTAGCAAGGCACCAGTGAAGGATGATACGTGAGAGAAAAGGCAGGTCAGTTAGCCCATCGTGATGAATACACTTGGAATTCAGCACGAGGGTTTCCACCACAACGGGGAGGTCGACCTATTAGGGTATGTTGTTAGCAATGGGACTGGTGATCCACATTATTAACAATCCCTTCCGACCCCAATATTTTTTTGTTGTATAAATTATATTGTATTTACATTTTTTTTTATACAACACAGAATGGCAAACAAGCTGACGGCCCACCTGATAGAAAGTGGTAACCGTCGTCTATAAACATGAGCAGTACCATGGACATAACAGAGTATACTGTTTCGCCCATGATACCCTCCATGCGTTGCCATTCCTGAGGACTCAGGTGTTATTCCTTTGTACGCTGTAAATTCACGTCATGTCCCAACCTTCAAACCGAAACACAGCCATGCAAACACAACTGCTTTATGGTAGAAACACGAATGGGACAGAGGTATCCAAGCAATCGACTTTTGTACAGTCTCCCTCTGGTTGACATAGTTGTTTAGCTGTGTGTTCATGATTTGATCATGCTGTATAAGCATATTTTTGTAGGGACAAAACATTATTGTACTGTATAAATTAATGTACCATTGTTAATTCTTTGTAATATATACCTATTGAAATAAAAAATACTCAAAATGCCTTTTACAATTCCAGTTCACAAGCAGTAAGCCCAGCAGAATGGTTAGCAGCGTGGGAGAGTAGCATGGCAGCCATTACCAAGTATGGTGGTGCTGAACCAGGGGATAGGACAATGGTAAACTATTGTATTATTTATTTTTTATTTTATCCACTGAGTGAGCTTTACAGTTCATAGGATTCATTAATAATGCATTTTGCTAACAGTTGGACAGTCTTCACGCGGCTGCAGAGGCTTTCAAGCAAAACCTAGGGGCTGATCTGAAACAAGCGTTGTTGAAGACCAGCGAAGCAGCAGAAAGGGGGGCCAAGGAGACAGCTAGCAGGATAGCTAGGTAAATTAATGGACACATTCTAGAAACTGCCATAACTTATGTTTAATTTTTTTAATTTTTTTTTTTAATTTAATTAGCATGCATAAATACATTAAAAAAAACTGGATTTTTAGTACCACTTAAACCTCTTGGACTTGTGTGTGATACTTTACATTTCGTTCTCAAATGTCAATATTTACATTAAAATTCTGCTGTTTCAGCAAGCTTGGACAGTAAATAAACTTTCAGTTTAAACTTTATGTTTTTAACAGTGATATTGTTTCGCAAGTCGGTAGGTAGAGAATTTATTAATCGCGGTATAAGGTAGGCGCTCGTTCGCTCGCCATAGTAATCTTTTGCTCGAGTAGCGACTAGCTTGTTTTGCGCGGCGGAGCGAGTATGTATAGCATGATTTATTTTTGTTTGAATTTTCTGTTTAATATTATAATAAACATAAGATAAAACAGCATTTACAAAAAGTGGATTGGGATGCCACTGAATTAATTTTATATAACATTTATTGATATTTATTATTAAATTTTTTTATACAACTTAGAATGGCAAACAAGCTGACGGCCCACCTGATAGAAAGTGGTAACCGTCACCTATACACATGAGCAGTACCATGAACATAACAGAGGCATATTGTTACGACCATGATACCCCCCCATGCGTTCCCATTACTGAGGACTGTTATTCCTCTGTACCCTGTAAATTTACTGCCATATCCGTGTTTTTACCGTGAAACAGTTGTGTTTGCATGACTGTTTCGGTTGAAGAGTGGGACGGTTACCACTTTCTATCAGGTGGGCCGTCAGCTTGTTTACCATTCTAAGTTGTATAAAAAAAACTATTACACTATTTTGTCACTTTCATACAAACTGAGAATTTAGTATAAAAGAAAGAGACAACAGTTTAATAGTTATAACAGGTTTGCGCTTTTTAAGAAGGGGGTAAAAGTACACATTTTGAAAAATCACACGTGAGATTGGGGGCGGGTCGAAAATCGTCAAAAACGGATCACGGGGTTAATGAACATCCCCTCAGCAGTTACCGTAGTGTATGAATGCTTGCAATAGGGGCTCACTACCAACTCGTGTTGTTGTTTCTTGGGGTAACTTGAAATATTATCATTCCTACCTATTAAATATTGAATTCTCTAAGTCAAAATAAGTAATCAAGTAAGCAGTATTTAATCATATGTATATGTACATATGTGTATTTATTTATATATATCTCATCATCTTTATATATATATACACACACACACATACATATATATATATATATATATATATATATATGTATGTATGTATGTATAAATACTACATTAATACGTATGTTTATCTTTAGAATATTTGTATGTATGTTCTTACCATATTCTACTAAAAATTAAATAATTTTTTTTAAACCACCATCAAGTATCTCTGCACATCCCAAAGGTTGACTGCTAGAGAATGCCTATAGCATTAAGTCCACCTTTTGTACTACATTTTATTCACCAATAAAGTTTAACCCTTAAAAGCCTGATATTTTTAATCAAATTAAAAAATATATAAGGGTACAGTTGTACTTTTACTGTGTTTACTAATGAGGAAAAATAGTATAAAAAATCAAAATGATATTTTATTATATTTATTTTATAAAAAAAAAAAATTAGTAACATGTAAACAGCCAAATATTAAAATAAAATCGATTGTAGGCGCCCAATGCTATTTATAACCCCGGTATTAAATTTGAAACTTCAGGTATTTAAGGGTTAAATAAGTGAATAATGACGGCTGGAAGGTTATATGTATTGTTTGTTTACAGGGCGGGCCGCGCGTCGTATGTAGCCAAGGAATATTTACAAGACGAGGATGCAGGCGCACGCGCAGTCGCCATATGGATTAAAGCTGTCGTCAAATATATACTTACCAAAATATAGTTTTAATTATCTTTTATTTATACCTATATTTGACTTTGTACAAAAGTCGATTACTTGGGTACCTCTGTCCCATTCGTTTTTCAACCGTGAAGCAGCTGTGTTTGCATGGCTGTGTTTCGGTTTGAAGGGTGGGATACGGCGTGAATTTACTGGGTACAGAGGAATAACACCTGAGTCCTCAGGAATGGCAACGCATGGGGGGTATCATGGGCAAAACAGTATACTCTGTTATGTCCATGATACTGCTCATGTCTATAGGCGACAGTTACCACTTTCCATCAGGTGGTCTATTCTAAGTTGCATAAAAAAAATCAATATTTTATAACAAATTGCATTCATGAGAAGCAGAGGTGGGTCACTAGCTTATAATATCAGCAAGGTGGTAGAAAAATGGCCGGAAGAGGATACAGTAATAAATAACCGCCAAGTGGAAGGTCTTAAATAAAAAGAAGGTAGAAAGAAGAGTTTTTGTAATGAAACTACCAATTTAACAATATCATTTAATCACAGTGAAAACAACTGTTCTAAAACATATATTAAAACATTATAAATAATTACTATATCTAACATCAGCCACTCTATACCAGTGGCAAACGAATCCGTCGCTTTCCTTGTGTGTGCTATGTATGTATTTATATGTGTATGATTATGTATTTTGTATGTGTTTTTTATACAACTTAGTATAACGACGTATATATATATATATATAAATAAATATATATATATATATAAATAAATATATATATATATATATAAATAAATAAATATATATATATATATAAATAAATAAATATATATATATATATATATATATATTTATATATATAAGTTTATATAATTCATTATTCATTTTGTTTGTGTACATATTGTTAATCTTTTTAATCTGTATCATTTTTGAATGGAACAATGAAGAGTTAATTAATTCATGCTTGTGTTTGGAAGAGGGTCTAAAAAAACTTAACAAAGTAACGGTGAGGACCATATATATATATATATATATATATATATATATATATATATATATGGTCCTCACCGTTACTTTGTTAAGTTTTTTTATATATATATATTTTATATATATATATATATATATATATATATATATATATATATATATATATATATATATATATATATATATATATATATATATATATATATATATATATATATATATATATATATATATATATATACATATATATATATACGTGTGTTTGTTCGAACACGTTAATTTCTATAACTACAGTCTGATTTTAAAAATTATTGTTGAATTTAATTAGTTTATTTCTTAATATTAATATAGGTACGTCAACGTCACGATACGACGGACGAAGCCGCGGGATATAATTAAACTACATCGTAAACCTAGAAATAGATTCGTTTGCTACCTCGTGTAGAGCGCTGATATTCTTTATTGCCTGCAATTTTAAATGAATACATTATGTATTGATCCCAGAGATTCTGTGCATGTTATTATCAATTATCAGTACCGGCCGTAAGGGGGCGCTCGAGGGCGTTAAGGTCTAAAAGCGCAGAGACCTAAAAGAAGAGCCGTAGGATTACTAAGTACACTTGCTAGTGTCGACTAAACTAGACTGGGGGGAAGGGATTGTTAGTAATGGGGAGGTTACTTCTCATTGCTATTAATATATCCTATCAGGTCGACCTCCACGCAGTTCCTCTTGGAAACCATCGTGACAAATTTATCGTCGAATTCGTCACGACGGGCTAACTGACCTGCCTTTAGATCCTCATCAATCATCCCTCACTGGTGCCCCGCTGGTGTATACCGATAGCGCAGGTAGGGTTACCATTCCATTATCCATTAAAAAGGACTAAAGGAGATTTACTTCATTCATATTGGGGTCGAATCTGAGGCATTATTTTTTTGAAACTTATTTTTAAAATTAAAATTTGACATTAGAGCGAAATCTTTATTGATCTACAGGGTACAGAGGAATAACACCTGAGTCCTCAGGAATGGCAACGTTTGGGGGGTTTCATGGGCGAAACAGTATATTCTGTTATGTCTATGGTACCGCTCATGTCTATAGGCGACGGTTACCATTTTCCATGATAGAATGTCAAATGGAAAAGTTGCCTTAAGTGAATGGTAACAAGATTCATTTTGATATAATTCGAGCGATGAAAGCGTATTAACATTTACACTATTTCAATAGAGCTTGATGCAAATAAATGTATTATAAGATAGATGTAATAGTAGTATAAACAAAAATCAATTTGGTAATAAATACATTTAAAAAAAGTAATTTTCAAAAATTGATTAATTTACATTAATTTTTTTTTAAAGCAAACTATACAAATACACGATAATATTAAGAACGTTCGATATCGAATTCGAATATCATATATAAATTATTTGTTAACATTTAAATATAATTTTTAATATTTCTAAATGCGTGGAACGGAACGCAGTAACGATAGGCGAACGCGGGGACCGTGCGGGGCGCGCGGGGCATCTGACAACTGCCAACACTCTGGTATAGATTGTCTATGATAAAACAGCAAGCCCTTTAAAAATCTAAAGAAGCAAACATGTAAAAATATTTACAAGGTTTCCACCAAGGAATATATATAAAAGGATTGTTCCTTTGACCAGACCACTACAGAAGACGTCTCCTAGCAAACAAAAACAGAGCACCACGTTTGTATACGGTCGCACACATTGAAGTGAAAAGTTGGAGGGGCACGCCATGTTATCGTAGACAATCTATACTAATAGAGACCGACATAGTTTTATTATAATTATTGTCCTAATTGTAAACAATAGTATTAAATACTTAGACGACGAAGTATTACTATATATTTCCACGTTTCCTCTCGCAATAAACACTAGAAGATCATTTAAAAAGTACTCTGACGCTAATGTAGAGTACATAGTTTTCGACACCGTCTCTTAGTCTATAATTGTGCAACTTTTTTTTTCTTTTTTTTTTTTCAAACAGATAATTTGTTACAAGGGCGTTGAAAATTGACTGATAAATTCAAACGTTAGCAGCTTTTCATGTGAATACTTTAAATTTGACTGGCCATATGACATTTAAACCCATCTGGTTATTAGATTCCTAATTTTTACGACTAACGTCTCTTATAAGAGTAACGTAATCACATACATCGATATGCAGCCAGTTAGAAGTCCCATTCTGTTGTTTTCTCAATGTCCATTTCAGATAGTTTCTGTTGCAGTAACATCGCTGACATGTCATCTGAAATGATATTTAAAATATATTAAAATATTTAAATATAATTTTTAATATTTCTAAATGCGTGGAACGGAACGCAGTAACGATTGGCGATTAGAATTGGCGTGAATTTACAGGGTACAGAAGAATAACACCTGTGTGCTCAGGAATGGCAACGCATGGAGGGTATCATGGGCGAAACAGTATACTCTGTTATGTCCATGGTACTGCTCATGTCTATAGGCGACAGTTACCACTTTCCATCAGGTGGGCCGTCAGCTTGTTTGCCATTCTAAGTTGTATAGAAAAAAAAAAGATTACATAACACAGTACTAAAGAGTCACGTTTTCTTCTAGCTTGTCATCTCCATAAAACAGCATCTTTTAATGGTAGTTTCCGATATCAAGCGACAAAATGTTGGAACAATATACCACCTTCCATTAAAATTGATCGCTACTAAGTCCAGTTTCAAAATTAATTTAAAAAAATTCTTAATTGAGAGGCAAAGTTAGACATTCCAGCAAGTTACCTCTATGTTCCATTTGTTTGCTAGATAAACTGTCATATCTGTCTGTTTACTGTATTAGCCTGTTTTTTTTTATGGGTGAAAATGGTATGGCATTTTGGATATAATTGAATGGTAACCCCGCCTGGGCTAATGGGATATGCTGGCGGAGCACTAGTGAAGGGTGATAGATGAGAATGAAAACGGGCCAGTTAGCCCATCATGATGAATTCATCAGGAATTAACCATGATAGTTTCCAGGGGGAACTGCGAGGAGGTCGACCTGGTTGGGTATATTGCTAGCAATAGGATTCTCAGTCTCCATTACTAACAATCCCTTTCCCCCCTATATCTGTCTGTTTACTGTATAGATAATCTGGTAGTATTATTTTATTGTTACACTATTCCCTTTGGCCGCAACAGAATATCAGTGCTTTGCCCTTTTGAGGGCGAAGCAATAAACTGAGTTGTGGCCATTTTGTATTGCTATGGCGCACGCACAAATGAAAAATTGTACTTGGCTTTATGTATTTTTTTTTAATCATATATGTTATCTCGCTTTTTATGTATATCTATATATGTTGTAATTTGTGTGCTGTAAGTGATGCAAATAAATTATCTATCTTATCTGATTTTACATTACTATAAAAATTCTTGGTAATTTTTATATTTGTATGTACGTAATTTATCATACCATTTCAACAGTTCATGGCAAAACATAGGCCTCTATTGGGGGGTTTTGCCAGTAGTTGCTGCGCTTGGCAGGCAGGTTGGCAACTACAGTTAGGCCTTGGCGATGCTTTAAGAGCTGCTATCCATCCCTTGCCCTCCCTTAGTCGCCACCCACGGGAAAGGAAGGGGTGGCCTTTTCTATGCCGCGATCACACGGATTGCAAGTAATGCGGACTACCAGTCCCATTGCTAGCAAAATACCCTATCAGGTCGACTTCCACATGGTCCTGCCTGGAAACCATCGTGCTGAATTCTAGGTGTATTCATCACGGTGAGATAACTGATCTGCACTTTCATTCTCACCTATCATCCTTCACTGGTGCCCCGCCAGCGTTACCGTTAGCGCAGGCGGGGTTACCATTCCATTATTATCCATTAAAAAAAACAGCCACGGCCACAGTCAATAAATTCCTCTGACTACCCCATTAGCAGGGAGGAAGGGATTGTTAGTAATGCTGGCTACCAGTCCCATTGCTAGCAATACACGCCATCAGGTCGACCTCCACGCGGTTCCCTCTGGAAACCATCGTACTGAATTTCAGATCTATTCATCACGATGGGCCAATTGACCTGCTTTTCCATTTTCACCTATCATTCCTCACTGGTGCTCCGCCAGTGTATACCGTTAGCGCAGGCAGGGTTACCATTCCATTATTATTCATTAAAAAAAACACAGCCACTACCCCATTAGCAATTTTAGTCGTAAGTATATTTTAATTTTTTATAGAAATGGTATTGAAGCTAACAATATTCTTGTTAGAATTAATTGTAGATTAGATATTAAAAAAAAGAAGGTTAGAATACTAACTTGGGTCAGGTTTTATGGGCTTGATCCGGGAGATCAGCCCGGGCAGGTAATCAGTCTTTCGGATTTGCTTGAAGAAGCTGTGATTCAGCAGCTGGGATGCTGTCGGCCGCTTCTCCGGATCTCTGTAGACATAGACAAAGATTTTTTATCATGAATGTCATTATTATTAGCCATTAATTGGGTACCTCTGTCCCATTCGTGTTTCAACCGTGTAGCAGTTGTGTTTGTATGGCTGTGTTTCGGTTTGAAGGGTGGGATATGGTGTGAATTTACTGGGTACAGAGAAATAACACCTGAGTCCTCAGGAATGGCAACGCATGGGGGGTATCATGGGCGAAACAGTATACTCTGTTATGTCCATGGTACTGCTCATGTCTATAGGTGACGGTTACCACTTCCCATCAGGTGGACCGTCAGCTTGTTTGCCATTCTAAGTTGTATAAAAAAAAAAATTACTCTCCACTGATGAACATAAGCCTCTCCTATTTTGCCAGTAGTTGCCACGTTTGGCAGGAGGGTTAGCAACCGAAGTAAGATTTTGGTGTTGTTTTAAGGGCACACTGCTGTTCATCCCTCGATCATTAAGTTCCTTTAGTTGTCTATTAAGACACCCACGGGAAAGGGGTGGACCATTCTATGCTGGGACCATATGGTAAATATTATACTTAAAACTTATTAAACTATAATATAATCTATGCTAATAATAAATTAGTATAGATTAATAATTGAGCCTTGATTAATTGTATGATTTACGTTACCTTAGTTCTATAATACGAGAATCCTAGTGTTATAATACAAATTGTTTTCTTTTTCTATTTTAATTTTAAATCCTTTTTTTTTTTTTATTTATATAAATATTTGTGTGTAGTTTCGTTGTTATAATTCTTAATATTTTTTTAACCCCTGTGCGGGTGTAGTCGCATATTTCTGTAGAATAAAGTTTCTTTCTTTCTTTCTTAGTATAAATAAACAATACAATAGAAATTAAAATTACCTGTGAGAGCTGTATACGTCTCGTAAGTGATATGTTCATCTAACTTAACTAAGTTACTTATAGCATTACACCTAATCTAAATAAGACGGTAAAAACTAAATAAAATCAGGCGTCAGTTTAGAAATTTTGTCTAAATTTATATTTAATTACAAAATAATCAACAAAAACCACAATACTCGATTCTACCGCCATCTAGTATTTCATGTCCAAATTAGGTTAGCGACCAATATTGTGAACATATTGTTGGTGCATCTTATACTATATCATATTAGCCATTCATTGTCCGCTGCTGGACACAGGCTTCCCTCTATTCGGGGTTTCGCCAGTAGTTGCCACGCTTGGCAACCGCAGTTTGGCTTTGGAGATTTTTGAGAGGGATGTGGCTACCCATCCGTCAGGGCGAAAAGGGATTGTTATTAATGGAGACTGAGTATCCCATTGCTAACAATATACCCAACTAGGTCGATCTCTTCGCGGTTTTCCGTGGAAACTATCATGGTTAATTCCTGAAGAATTTGTCATGATGTGCTAACTGGCCTGTTTTCATTCTCATCTATCACCCTTCACTGGTGCTCCGCCAGCGTATCCCGTTAGCGCAGGCGGAGTTATCATACCATTTTCACTCATAAAAAAATATCCATCTTTCCACTTGGAAATAAAAAAATAAAGAAATGTCTGATACCTCTGCAGCGCGAGGTCGCTGAGGTGGTGGAAGGTGTCGGAGAACTTCCTGGCGCCGTACAGCTGCCGCGCGCGGGGAGCCTCGCTGTCGCCCACGCCGCTGTCCGTGTTGTATATGCCTGCACACCGGACACATTTTCAGTTTTGTTTTATTTATACAACTTAGAATGGCAAACAAACTGACGCCCCACTTGATGGAAAGTGGTAACCGTCGCCTATGCACATGAGCAGTACCATGGACATAACAGAGTATACTGTTTCGCCCATGATACCTCCCATGCGTTGCCATTTCTGAGGACTCAGGTGTTATTCATCTGCACCCAGTAAATTCACGCCATATCCCACGCTTCAAACCGAAACACAGCCATACAAACACAACTGCTTCACGGTAGAAACACGAAGGGGACAGAGGTGGCCAAGCAATCGACTTTTGTACAAAGTCTCCCTCTGGTATAAGTGGTGACAAGGGTGCCCATTGCTAGTAAATATACAATGCCAGGTCGAACTTCGCGCGATATGTCTGGAATGCATCGTAGTTATCATATTAACTGTTAACTGCCCATTGCTGAACATAGGCCTCTTCTATGGTGAGTTTTGTCCATAGTTGCTGTTTGGCAGGAACGTTGGCAACCATGGTTAGACTTTGATGATGTTTTGAGAGGAACACTGCTGTCCATTTCTCGCCCTTTTTTAGAAGCCTTAAGAGCCATAAGTACAAAGTCTCCTTCTGGTGTCCTCCTTCATCATTACGCTGGGTCTAATTGTTATTATTACCCAGAGTGTTTTAGTGCAATAAAGATTGTATAGTCAAAAAGCCAATCAGCTTGCCAAGTGTGGCAACTACTGGCAATACCTTCTTTATGGAGGTGGCCTATGTTCAACAGTGGATAGGCCTATATGATGGGGCCAAGTGTGTGGTCCTGGCATGGAATAGGTCATCCTTGCCATTGGGTGTCTTAAGAGCCAACTAAGGAGGGCAAGGGATGGGCAGCAGTGTTCCTCTTAAAAAGTCTCTAAAGCCTGACTGCGGTTGCCAATCCGCCTGCCAAGCGTGGCAACTACTGGCAAAACCTCCCAAGGGGGAGGCTTCTGTTCAGCAGTGGACAGTTAAAGGCTGATATGATGAAGGGGCCTTGGAAATTAATGTTATATGCTAATGATAATAGTGGGGTGGGGGGGGGGGAAGGGATTGTTAGTAATGGAGACTGAGAATCCTATTGCTAGCAATATACCCAACCAGGTCGACCTCCTCGCGGTTCTCGCTGGAAACTATCATGGTTAATTCCTGATGAATTCATCATGATGGGCTAACTGGTCTGTTTTCATTCTCATCTATCACCCTTCACTGGTGCTCCGCCAGCGTATCCCGTTAGTGCAGACGGGGTTACCATACCATTTGCACCCTTAAAAAAATTATAATAGTTGGGGCACTGACTCTTCATGTCCCCGTCGTGGAGGCAGGGCTCGGGGAAGGTGGTGCAGTCGAGCAGCTGCGGCCGGGCGCCGCGCTGCTTCTCCGTGAACATGAGCGTGGTGGGCAGCTCCGCGAACGGCACGGCGCCGTTAGCCAGCTCGCAGCACAGCACGCCCACCGAGTACACGTCCGACCGCTCGTCGTAGCCCTTCAGGTTCTGCAACGTGGTTACGATGTCGTTTGATTAGAAGAGAGAGATAATTAGATAATTTGTAACCTCCTAGGCTATGTTCTAGGTTATGCTCTCACATATTCATTGCCTGGTTTGTCAGAACACAGAGGGAGACTTTGTACAAAAGTCGATTGCTTGGGTACCTCTATCCCATTCGTGTTCCAACCGTGAAGCAGTTGTGTTTGCATGGCTGTGTTTCGGTTTGAAGGGTGGGATATGGCGTGAATTTACTGGGTACAAAGGAATAACACCTGAGTCCTTAGGAATGGGCAACGCATGGGGGGTATTATGGGCGGAACAGTATACTCTGTTATGTCCATGGTACTCTGCTCATGTCTATAGGCGACGGTTACCACTTTCCATCAGGTGGGCCGTCAGCTTGTTTGCCATTCTAAGTTGTATAAAAAAAAAGGTATCATGTCACGCCTGTCCTACCTGCTCGAGCAGTTCAGGGCTGAGCCACACGAGGTTGACGTTGTCGTGGTCGGGCGGCGGCAGGTTGTGCAGCTGCTTCTGCCTGCGGCCGCGCACCATCATGCTGGCCGCGCTGCGCAGCCCCGACAGGCGGACGCTGCCGTTCGCACCAACTAGGACGTGGCTGGCGCGGACGCTTCTGTATATGTTGACATAAACGTTTCAACCAAAATGCCACATATTTTGGTAATTTGATTAATGAGAAGTAAATATTTTGTGATTTTTAAGTGTGATCTTGAAGTGATATTTATTAGGATTTTTGGAAATAACAAATTTCAGAAGCATTTAAAAAGTATACTAAAAATAATTGATGCACTGTATATACAGATAAATGTGTATCAGAAGTTAGGGCAGAAATTTCATAAATAATAAATAATAATAATAATAAATATATACGGACACACACGCAATAGATTGAGCTGGCCCCAAAGTAAGTTCGAGACTTGTGTTATGGGATACTAACTCAACGATACTATATTTATAATAGATACATATATAGATAAACATCCAAGACCCAGGACAATCAGGAAAAGATCGTTTTCCATTATGACCTGGCCGGGGATCGAACCCGGGGCCTCCACGTCGCAGGCAGGCGTGTTGACCGCTGCGCCACGGAGGACGACATCATAAATCATAATTTAAAAATACAAAAATGTGGTTTCTATTGGAGATCTAACATAAAAATTGGTGTATATTTTATCTTGATAAGGAATCTAGGATTAGTCTATTTAGTTTAATCCCTAGTTCAGAAATTAATATGTACATATATGTGAATTTCTAAACCACTTTGTAGTAATTTGTTCATTTCAATGCAACTGCAGAGTCATTTCTCCAAATATTTTTTATTTAAAATATATAAATTTATAAATTATTTAAAATATATAAATGAATAAAATTTCACAGGGTTACTACTATGGGTACTGGTTTTGTTTACCAACAGATAGACTATATACTTGTTTACAACCTTCAAGGCACAAAAAAATATATAAATATATCATACGAATGTGATGTCACATATGAATGTGAATGTGAAAAAGACTCTATTTTCCGCGCTTAGCCTCTCATTTGGGTTGTTGTGCGTATGAGTCGTGGCTAGTACAGCCAACCTAGCTCCGCCCAGAAGTGCAGAGCCTTCCTAGGTTCACTTTACAGACCTCACGGAGCGACCTCACCTTTCCGAAAATTTCTAAATGTTGATGGGCCACGGCCTCACATTCCAGGATTATGTAAGCAGCCGTTTCTTCGGCGTCGAAACAGCCAAACCTACATTATTATATAAGTAATATAATATATTACTTATATAATAATTTAGGTTTGGCCTTGATATAAATTATGAATGTTGCTAGAATTAAGAGGGTGTCCCCTTTTAAAAAATATTTATATTCTGGGGGTCTACCATGAAATGAAATTTCGAATTTTCGGGCTGAATTTCGTGTTTTTGTTCGTACCAAAATCGACCCTATAAATGGAGCTTAACATTTCATTTGTCATAAATCCTACCATAAAAGTAAAAAGGAACAATACTATAGCATTTTTAATATTTTTAAACGGCATGTATTAAGTAATTTTAATATAAAATTTTTGTTTCGTTCGGATCCGAAATTTCGGAAAACATTTTATGGTAGGCCCTCTGTTCTCTTACCTGTGAATATACAATTGTTTGTGTAAATACTGCAGTGCTAACAGCACATCTCTTAACACAATTGCACATGCGAGCTCTGGTAGACCCTCATGGTAGTATCTGTCCAGGATATCACGACATGAACCGAACGTCATCAGTGGGGATACCACATACAGCTCTCTGCCGTGAACAAAAGATGTCAGGTACGGAAGGATGTTGGGGTGCTGTAGTGCTTTCCTCGTGAGGATGTCTTGCTGAAAGAAGTTGTATATTTTAAAATTAAATTTAAAAATATATCAATCAATAGTCTTCTTTATTCGCCAGATAGTGGGGGTGGACGAGATGGGCGTAAAATATAAAAATACTGTGTCACAAATTTTAATCTTTAAAACTGCCTAACCAATTTAAATGAAGTTTTGTATATGTGTATTGTTTGTTTCAATTTGAAAAATAGGTTTATTTTTAGAAAGAGAAAATTGATGGCACTATGTAAAAAATTTTTATCTTGTAATAATATATTGTAAGGTCAGTCAGTAAAATAAACAATTATAAGAGGAATTGTTTTTACTTTATTTTTATTACACTTTATTCTTTAATAAAATTAAAATAATTCATGTTAATTTTATATTAATTTACAACATTTGCAATAGGCACATTCTGTGTTACAGTTTCAATTTTACAAATCACATCTATCACTTCACTGTGATATATATGCTATAAATCTCCATTTTATATTATTAGAACTATTTACACTTCACACACACACACACACACACACACACATTACACTAAATATTAAATAAGGATTCCAGTAAATAATTATAATATTATTATTCTATATTGTGACACTTGTTTTATTATTAAAGCATTTAATTGAATATTTTCTGATATTACCACATGTAGAGTTGCAGTTTGCTTGTTAATGATTGACATAATGTTTTTATTACTAATTATTGTTTTGTTCTAATCTGTTGTTACAAATCATACCAAAAATAATAATTACTCTGTTGATTAAGAAAAAAGTATAACTAAATTATCTATTAAGCAAATTTAAAAAAAAATAAATATACAAATAAAAAAAACGTGTTTGTCTATGTACTCTTTGCAACCTATGAATGCCAGTTCGTCTAAAGATCTTTATATTATGCTTGTTGGATGCTAATATTTACTTACTTGTATCAAGTTGGCGTTCTCTCTGGTTTTGTCCACGAAATATCTTTTGATCGCCACATTCTGATTGCTGGGTTTGTATAATGCTGAATACACAACAGCCACTCCTCCACAGCATTCAGTTATAATGGAAGTCAACTGGTAATCATTTATATCTGGATTAAACATTTCAATGTTACTATGAAGTAGAAAATAAGTCGATATTATTACTTTATTAGTAATATATAATATAATAGTTAAAAGTACATATCGGCAGTGTACTTGTTACTCTAAAAAAAGGGGACACTATGACTTTATTTGTACTAATATTAATAATAAATAATAAAATAAATAAGAGATTTGCTTTGTGATAGGACAGTTCGAAGTGTTTGACATTTAAATGACATTACATCGACATAGGTACCTGTATCGAAATGTCAGTAATGTCAATGTCACATGGCTTATTTTCAAATATTTTACTAAAAATCGAAATCTAAAGACTTCGTTTTATTAGATGAAATTTATATTAAATTTGACTGAATTCAGTTTCTTCTAAGTAGTCGTAATATTTGATCATAAATTCATTCACTAGAATTAAATTTACGATAAGACTTTGCTAAAACTATTATGAAAAAGTTCATTTGCCGGCATGTGTATTTTTTTTAAATGAATACCTTATTCTTACAGTGAATAGTATATAAAAAAGATAACGTATTTTTTTTTAATATAATAACAAATTGCCTGTACTATTGATATTTTTTTAATGGATTAGAGTGGAATTTCTAACGATATACATTGGCGGGGTACCAGTGAGCCTTGACATTAGAATAATAAATAATAATAATAATAATGAGCCGAAGATTTCCCGATTCTGGCGCTATTCAAACATAATGTTGAGTTGGCAGCTAATTTATTAAATACGTTTAACGCAACCGCCTATATGAATTACAGGAGAGTACAGTAGGGCACACGTGGAGCTATGTTCCGTTTATTCGTATGTTCCATTTCTCGCGGCTTGAAGGTTGATCTTATTAGGTGGTCAGGACCCGAAATATTATTATTGATTGATAGATAGATAGATAGATAGATAATTTATTTGCATTACTTACAGCACACAAATTACAACATACATATACAAAAATAAATGATAAAAAAAATACACAAAGTTAAATACAATTTTCGTTTGTGAGTGTGCCATAGCAATACAAAATGGCCACAACTCAGTTTATTGCTTCGCCCTCAAAGAGATGATTTTTTTATTATAATTAACTGTCCACTGCTGGGGGGAAAGGTATTGTTAGTAATGGGGTTTTACAGCTCCGTTGCTAGCAATATACCCTATCAGATCGATCTCCACGTGGTTCCCCCTGGAAACCATTGTGGTTAATTCTTGTTGAATTCGTTACGGTGGGCTAACTGACCTACCTTATTGTCACCTATCATCACTCACTGATGCCCCGCCAGTGTATACCGATAGCGCAGGCGGGGTTACCATTTGATTATCATCTATAAAAAGAATCTGTCCATTACTGAAGCCTACCTCATAAGGAGAGTTTTGCCAGTAGTTGCCACGCTTGGCAGGCGGGTTGCCAATCGCAGTCAAGCTTTTAATGACGTTTTAAGAGGGACTTGCTGCCCATGCTTCGACCATAAGTTCCCTTAGTCGACTTTTACGACACCTACGGGAAAGGAACGGGTGGTCCATTCTAGGCCGGGACCTTGAAAGCGTGTTGAAAGACGAATGAAAATCAATGGCCAAAAATACCCAATCAAACAGTGAAACAGGATCCAGCTGAAGTAATAACAAAATTAGCGAAGGATTCGATATCTTTCATCAGATTACTATTGGGTTTAAGAGGTCGTTGTATGGTTTTGAGATAGAATGAGTTTGTATTTTTTTATGGATAGAATAAGTTCATAATTGTTATCAGTAATGTAATGTACATCTATAAAAATGTTATAACAACGTTTACTTATAATTAAGTGTTAAATGATGTTTAACAATGTAAGGTTGGCAAACTGCGTATTGATAAATTTTTGTATTGTTTTCTTTTTAATGGTACATTTCTGTTTGCAAACTGTTATTGTAACTTATAACAAATAAATAAATAAATAAATAATCTCGCCTCACTTCTTTAGTAGATAATTTATCATGTCATAAATTCACATTCATTAAACAAATAATTTAACGATCAATCAATAATTAAATCATTAATTTATAAACACTCTAATTTTTTTCGCTTACATAGAGTAGTTGCTTACCAGAATGTAAGCAGCTACTCTATGTAATGTATACATAATTTAACTCATAAAAACAATAAATTACAGTTTTTTTTTATGCAACTTAGAATGGCAATCAAGCTGACGGCCCATCTGATGGAAAGTGGTAACCGTCGCCTATAAACATGAACAGTACCATGGGCATAACAGAGTATACTGTTTCGCCCATGATAGCCCCCATGCGTTGCCATTCCTGAGGACTCAGATGTTATTCCTCTGTACCCTGTAAATTCATGCCATATCCCACCCTTCAAACCGAAACACGGCCATGCAAACACAACTGCTTCACGGTAGAAACGCGAATGGGACAGAGGTACCCACGCAATCGACTTTTGTACAAAGTCTCCCTCTAATGAATGTAAAAATCTTTCAGGCAATACTGCCTCGACATGAGTCAAACAAGTGGCCATCTTCTCATATGTAAAATGCGCTGTTTGAAATTAAGTAGGGTAAAGTTCCCCGACGTTCAGTAACGTTGGGGACCAGCGTGTAATATTTTTTATATTAATTATAAACTTAGTAAAATGATGTTTCCCGCACAGTAATATTGGATGTTTAATATAATAATCATAGGGAAAATTATTTAATCTTCCGCCGACGCGAATAACGCCGTCGTTGTCCAAAAAAGGACACAAGGCCTTAAGTCTATTTTTACGCGGCAACGACTTTCCTGATTTATGTAGGTGACATTCAATTAGGAACATATCTATTTAATTAGTAATTGAGCATGGGTTGTAATTAGCTTTAATGCATTGTTTAGTTCTTGATTGGAAATAAAATTACTAGAGGAAGACTTTGTACAAAAGTCGTTTGCTTGGGCACTTCTCTCCCATTTTTTTTTTTTGGTGTGAAAATGGTATGGTCCCGCCTGCGCTAGCGGGATACGCTGGCGGAGCACCAGTGAAAGGTGATCGATGAGGATGAAAACAGGCCAGTTAGGCCATCATGATGAATTAACCAGGAATTAACCATGATAGTTTTGCAATTGCAAAAAAGCGAAAAGAGAACTCGAGCCGCATCCATCGTACAGTCAAGACTGCCCCGACTGGCAGAAATGGGATGGCATAGCAAGAGCTGCTGTCCTCTTCTGCTAAGGGAGTTGACACAGTCATGATAACAAATGCCCAAAACTCTCAAGAAAAGGAAAACTTAAATAGCATAGATGGAACTAAGACGGGGATACACCGACATACAAAATACCTATGTTAAATTAAAAGAATATAACATTGCAAACATTTATAAATAAAAATGCAAACAAGATACACACTTAGAATTTGCAGTTCACTGAGACTTGCAGCGAACGAGATGGCGTAAAATAGTGACTGAATATGATTCGATAAAGTCTACAAGGTTTATGCAAATAGTTCAGGACTAATTTGTAGTTTTCAATTTTATATATACATAATTTGCAAATTTCAGTTATATATAGATATCATTCGCAATATCCAGTCTTATATAATAATTTGTAATCTCAAATTTTATATATACATAAACTTATAAAGTGGAATAATATGTTTAATAATAATAATAATATATGTTCAATATTAAATTCGTAGCTACCAAATTTAAATATGTATAATTCGCAGTTTTCAGTTATACGTTGTATAGATATTACTCGCACTTTCTAGTTTTTTATAATAACTCGCAGTATCAAATTTTATATATACATAAAACTAAATAATATATATGGAAAAAAAAAAAAAAAAAAAAAAAAAAAAAAAAAAAAAAAAAAAAAAAAAAAAAACCAATGTTATAAATACACAGATATCAAATTTACAGACTAGAAGATTGTCGCATTAAAACACAGCGACAGAAAACAAAGGAAAAAAAAAAAAAAAAAAAAAAAAAAAAAAAAAAAAAAAAAACCATGATAGTTTCCAGGGGGAACCGCGTGGAGGGCGACCTGGTTGGGTATATTGTTAGCAATGGAATTCTTAGTCTCCATTACTAACAATGCCTTTCCCCCCCACCTCCCTGCCATTAGGGTTTCTACGGTAAAGCAGGTGTGTTTGCATGGCTGTGTTTCGGTTTGAAGGGTGGGATATGACAGTGAATTTACAGGGTACAGAGGAAAAACATAAAAAAAAATACATTCTATTTGGTCAAGTAGATAGATACATAGATAGGTATATTTACATTACTCACAGCACACAAATAATAACAGACATAGATAAACATACACAGCAAAAAGAGATAAAAGAATGTATACACAAAAAGGCAAAAGTAAAATTCATAAAAGAATTAAAAAAAATTTTTCTTTCATGCGTGTGCCATAGTAACGTAAAATGGTCACAACTCAGTTTATTGCTTTGCCCTCAAAAGAGTAAAAGTAGTTTTAACAAATATACAGTTAGATAGACAGACAAAAAATTTAAAAATTATTGTTTTGACTATTTTTTTTTGTCATATGTATATTTTTATATCTCTTACTAGCTTCTAGGCGCTATTTCGTTTGTATGACCAGAGGGCCTACCATGAAATGTTTTTCGAAATTTCTGGCCTGAAATTCAAAAAAATTAAGGGATTAAAAAAAAATCCAAATTTTTTGAGGTTTTTCAAATAGCTGTATTTCCTTTAAAATTGGTCGTACTGGAATTTAAAAAAAAAGGATTTTAAAGCTTAAAGTTTCTAGTTTTGAGATCTTATGATGAAAAAATTTTTCAAATAACGTGTTCTGCTAATGAATATTGAAAAAAAAAAATTTCCAATTTTTCTTCGGTTCTTTTTGTTCTACGAACTTGGAAAAAAATTTCCAACTTAACCACTATATGGATCGGATAGCTTGTTCATTCAGCTTTAATTTGCTTTTCTGCAAAGTTTGATACGACTACTTCTCGCTGAGATATCGAATGGAAAAGAATCTTTTTATCTTTAACCATCAATATCTCAGTAACCGCTGATCATATAAGAAAATTAAGGAGGGTTTTAAAATGTTGAATAAATTTCCGACAAAAATCAGCTATGCTTATTTGAATAAATTTTTTTTTATTCTTTACATTAGTTTGAAAAATCAAGAAAAAAAGGGCTTGTAGTGGCTTTTGGAATAATCAGGCGTTAAGATGAAAATACCGAGAAAACCAATGTTGAGTGTGCCTTTTACAGTTCAATATGCCCAAAAAAACCCCGCAAAGTTTCGATTCAATCCATCGAGCCGTTTTTATGTTTTATTCGATCGAATTTTTGAAAAGAGTTAAAGGATCACGATTTTGACTTTAAATGATCATATTCTTTAACAAAATGCAAAAAAAAAATGTTTTTTTCAGTTCTTTTATACATTTTATTGACAAAAATGTTTAAATTTATTAAAATTTTTTTCAAAAAAATTCCAAAAAAAGATTTGAAAAATTTTAGATTTATTTTTAATGACTCCAAATAATATTTATTTTTATTGTTAGATAATTGAGACGTTTTCATACTTCGTTACGAAAGCTACGGATATCAATGAAATTTAGTACACAGTTAGACCATCGTCATCATCATTATTATATCAGCCGTTAACTGTCCACTGCTGAACATAGGCTTCCCCAAATTTTGCCAGTAGTTGTCATGCTTGGCAGGCAGGTTTTTTTTTTCAATGAATGATAATGGAATGGCAGTCCCATTGCTAGCAATATATCCTATCGAGAGGAAAGGGGTTGTTAGTGATGGAGACTAAGAATCCCATTGCTAGCAATATAACCAATCAGGTCGACCTCCTCGCGGTTCTCTCTGGAAACTAACATGATTAATTCCTGATAAGTTCATCATGATGGGCTAACTGGCCTGTTTTCATTCTCATCTATCATCTTTCACTGGTGCCACACTAGCGTATACCGTTAGCGCAGGCGGGGTTACCATTCCATTACCACCCATTAAAAAAAAGATTAATATATAGGGCATACTAATTTATATGAGAAAGCTGTGAGTATGCAGTTAGTATTTACCATGACAAACAATTTGTTATTGCCTCGTAGATACTTTTAAGTGACTTTTCCTACAGCTACTTTTGGAGATGGAGCGTGTAACGCGCCTGTCCAAAAATCTCGGCCATCCATATCGTCCGGACGGGCGGCATGCAAAAATTTACAATCCACTCAATAAAAAATCGTAATTCCTATATATATATCGGCAGCGACCGCATCTAGAATACGCTTTATACGATGTACTCACTTCTATATAAAACCGGGGAGAGAGCCAAATTCTAAATATAAAGGTGGCCGACGTGAACCGAAGGCGGCCGAATACGCCCGCCCGCCTCAGTCCATCGCTAGCTACGGCTTCGACATTCCCAAAATCAAGGCAAACGAACGCGCGGTAACCATACGTTCACTTAGTAAGGGCACACCGTAAACGGTATTCGGCAATTGGGAAAATCCAAATTCGGAACGCGCCCGTGAAATTGTAGTGAATTCGAAATTCGAAATCGTGGATTGTGACAGTGTGTGGTGTTCGATATTGAACGTTCCGTACCGCGTTACAGGTAATGTAGTATTATGTGCTTCCGTCTTGCGATGCTTTTTTATCTGTAACGGATTAAATGCTGCGTTGAGTGGAATGTAAATCATCAGCCGGATAAACACGTGCTGGAAGCGAGAGTATTGAGTTACAATATGTCTGCCTGCCGTTCCAGAATAATTTTCCATTTCCTCCCTCCTCTGCTCCGTAGTGTAATAGTTTTCTTATAATTTCCTCTCATTGCACACTGCGCTGAAAGTTTTCCTAACCTCAAACTTTTCGGCGTTAACAAAACAAATCGTAACATTTTAAGTACTTACAGAATACTTATTATTTTCACTTGCTTCTGTTTTAACACGTTATTAGAACTTTTATTTGCAGCATTTTTGTGTGTTGGTACCGCATTGCGACAGACTTTAGGCTACTTGCAAGCCGGTAGGTTTAGTCTAGGCGTTGCGGAGGCTGGACTGTATTGATTTTATATTCTCGCAATATCTCGTGATTCTGTCTATTCCACATTCAACTAGCATTTGTTCTCATTTCATTTTAAAACCGGGTTTTCTAAAGAAAGCGTCCCGTCTCGTCTCCTACCGAACACGTCCTCCAGAAAGGTATTTAAAATATTTGTATTTTGTGTCTATTTCTATGTGTTTAGATGTAGATTACTTTTGTTGAAAAATAAAACATTGATTGTTTATGATACTTGTTCAAATGACGTATCGTAAATACACAGTTGTGGGTGGTAGGACATACTCAAAAATAATCCGATACTTAATTTAAGAAACTTTGAACGTCAGACAAATTTATTTGAAATGTTAAATTCTTTCGATTTATATTTTTGATTATTTTATATTGAGTATCAAAAATTATAATAAATAGCAATAAAGATTATTGTGTAATCCAATTTACGTTTACAGAATTTTTTCATAAAAAAATGAATTTGGCAAAAATGCTTAATAAAGAATAGATACACGAGATAAATAAAAAAAAAATGAAGCCATAAAATTGTTAATTTATGGATGTATAACCATAAATAAACAGACGTGTTTAGTCTACTATTTTCTAAATTATGTCTCATTGCCTTGTAATATGAAATATAAAATCAGATTTTAAAATTTTTTACAATTGAATTTATGTTGGCCGGAGTAAATCTGTGTGGAGATGTGTGAGCAGTGAACAAAAGAAATTAAGATAATATGGCATTTAATTTTCTTTTTTACTTTTTTTTTTAATAGGCAGTTGCTTATATATGTAAAGGTACATTGCCCTTCATTAATTTATGTACGTATAGTTTGTTTCACTAGACCATAATGAAATTGTAAAAAAATGTATAATTCATTCCACTATAAAAAGCCTGCTAATGTCCCTAAGAACAAGGAATTACATAGAAGGAGTAATAAAAATGTTAATTCATAGCAGGCTAGTGTATAGAAAATGTTATACGGCCGTATAACCCTACCAAATTCAGATACAACCTGCTTGCATACTTTCTACATAAACTGTGTCAAATATAGAATCTAGTAATCTAAAATTTGTCATTGATAAATAATTGACATATCAAACATTTTCTATACATTAGCCTGCCGTGAATTGAAAAAAATGGTGTATCTTTCGTCCTCTTTTTACTAATTATATTTGCACAAGAAGAAAAGAGGCAATCATATGATTTGCAGTTTTTATTTTATCATTCCTTCTATGTAATACCTTGTTCTTAGTAATGTCCTATTGACTATGTAATAGTTACATAAATCAGAAATTTTGAAACATCTCTCCTTTCGAGAGTACGAAGTAGATAAAATTTTACGTGAGTATACAGTACAGGGCACGATTGGGCTTAATATAATACCTAAAGAAGGTGATTTGTAAGTCAATATGAATACGTACGTGTAAATGTTTATTTTTTTTTATGGGTGAAAATGGTTTTTTTTTTTTTTTTTTTATAGAACTTAGAATGGCAAACAAGCTGACGGCTCACCTGATGGAAAGTGGTAACCGTCGCCTATAGACATGAGCAGTACCATGGACATAACAGAGTATACTGTTTCGCCCATGATACCCCCCATGCGTTGCCATTCCTGAGGACTCAGGTGTTATTCCTCTGTACCCAGTAAATTCACGCCATATCCCACCCTTCAAACCGAAACACAGCCATGCAAACACAACTGCTTCACGGTTGAAACACGAATGGGACAGAGGTACCCAAGCAATCGACTTTTGTACAAAGTCTCCCTCTGGTAACCCCGCTTACGCTAACGGGATACGCTGGCGGAGTACCAGTGAAGGGTGATTGATGAGAATGAAAACAGGCCAGTTAGCCCATCATGATGAATTCATCAGGAATTAACTATGATAGTTTCCAGGGGGAACCGCGAGGAGGTCGACCTGGTTGGGTATATTGCTAGCAATGGGATTCTTAGTCTCCATTACTAACAATCCCTTTCCCCCTGTAAATGTTTATTTGCAGTAACTTTCAATTTTTTCACCGCATAATTACATTTCTGTTTCGCCAAAGGTTGACTGCGAGAGAATGCTATATAGTATTAACTCCGTCTTTTGTACCAGTAATTTTCTTTTTGTAGATACGATAAAGAATAAATTAATTAAAATAATTAATAAAATAAAAAATCGTTAATTTGATTATTTCGATTTATTACTTCGTTTAGAGTGTATTTCTGTACAATTTCAAGATTTGTTTATTTTTTCATTAAGTTTCTAATAAAACAGTTATTATACGATTGACTTTTTTAAATTTTTTTTTATAATGTAGAGTAGGAAAATTTGTGTTACAGCTATTTTTAAAAAAATATTTACGTACTTATTAAATAATTTTTAGAACAGATTTAAACCATTTTTAATATAACAGTAACATAACATGGCGTGAAAAGATTATCATGTTGGTGCATTTGTTTTATTGATCATTTAGAATGCTACTTATTTAGAGTCATAATTTTTTTTTTACTAAAAAGCACGTACCCAGAATTATTATAAGAAGTATGTTGACTCTTTTTTTTTTTAATTTGGAACGACCGAAGAGCTAAGGCCCGTCTGATATAAAGTAGTAATTGTCGATTATATACTTGAACAGTAATTTAAAGCACATTGTATAGGATATCACGTGATGTCCATCTTACTAGTCGATTCTTGTAGACTAAGTCATGATGTCTCCGTACTTAGTTCAGTAAGATTTTAAATATCTAGACCAGGGATTAAACTTGTAAGTATTTTTCAGTAATAGGAAAAAATTAGAGATAGGATTTTTATTTTACTTAAGGGGGTCTGAGGTTCATTCATTTTGGAAAAGGGGTTTCTTGCCCAAAATGGTTTGGGAACCTATGGTCCAGACTGTGTAATTAAATTAATATTATAAAGAGAAAGGCTTCGATTTTTTTTAAGGTACACGGTTACTGTAGCCTATGGATGCATTTTGGAACATCTCTCCTTCCGAGAGTAGACGAAGTAAATAAAAATTTTACGTGAGTATCCTGCAACGTTAGGGTTGTCACGTGCGCGTTTGCCACCCTGAAAAACCTTAATATTTGACTATGCATTTAGTAATGGACAAATTCAAAAAATAATGAAATCTTCAAGAAAAGAAAACATATTTGTTTCTAAAAGGTCGGAAGTACGCCTGCAATTTCTTTAATATTTCGGGTGACACGACAATCACTTATTGTCAAATGAGCCTCATACCGATTTGCCTTATATATATATATATATATATATATATATATATATATATATATATATATATATATATATATATATATATATATATATATATATATATATATATAAAGATAAAGAAAACTACAGTATAACTATAATATTTTCCAGACTGCACATATATTTTTTTTATCATTTCAGATAAAAAATCTAAATTATGAAATACAATTGATGAAGTCATTGTCTCCTACTTTTTGAAGTCGCTTGAAAAGTGATTTAATAAAAAGGAGAATTTGTATTAAAAATAACCGTAGCGTAAGTAATCATTCATGTCATTATAATCAGTCATGTCACGCGACTTTCGTTATAGTAACTTGAAATTTGCAACGTCACGGAAACTCGTGAAATGTGCCAACATTATTACATTCTAGTTATATCCCGCGGCTTCGTTTTCGCAAATCAACAAATAAAAGATCCTAAGTTCTAAATTAGGATATAATATTACCAGATATAGGGTATATTACCAGAGGTAGACGTAGAAAAGTCTTTTGCTTGGTCACCTCTGTCCCATTCGTGTTTCTACCGTGAAGCAGTTGTTTCCATGGCTGTGTTTCGGTTTGAAGGGTGGGATATGGCGTGAATTTACAGGGTATAGAGGAATAACACCTGAGTCCTCAAGAATGGCAACGCATGGGGTGTATCATGTGCTAAACAGGGGGCAAATGAGCATGCGGCTCACCTGGTGGTAAGTGACTACCGCCGCCCATGATCACCCACAACACCAGCGGCATTGCAGGTGTGCTGCCGGCCTTTTAAAAAGGAATATACGCTTTTCATGAAGGTTATGTTGTCGTATCGGTTCGGAAATACTGCTGCTGGAAGTTGATTCCAAAAAATGGTTGTGCGTGGAAGAAAGTTTTTGCCTTCCTTTCTCTTTTCTTTCTTAAATATATAGGGACAAGTCTCTATTCGGCAGTTGTTCGAGTTATTGGACTGTTAAGCTAATAATTTCACTTTTAGCTTGGAAATTGCAAAGTTCTAATTGATGACTGTGAGCGCTGGAATCAGCTCACGTCATCCACGTAAGCGTTACAATAATTTCCGCTAATTGCAGTTTCATGGCTGTCTTAATGTTAGTATAGTTTGTATTGAGGTCAAGTTCGCATATTCGGTGAATACATAATTCAGTCATCGTTGAACAAGCATTATTTTTTGATAAAAGAAAATAATCAAAAAAATTTAGTTTAACTTAGAAAATCAAGTTGTAAATTTTTCGTTTGTAGTTTTGTGCATAGAAAAGTATATAAGAATCGGTCAAGATATAGATTTGCACATCAGTGGACTTATTTCTTGGAGAAGTAG